CATATTCGTACAAGGGTGGAAAGTAAATTCTTATTCATACGCATGTGATCTAGGGCACTTTCCATAGGACTCTATAGTGTGATATGTGTCACTTTCCTAAGTGGTCATAGGAAAATATATTATATAGATCATATTGCAAATAAAGATGAGGCAGGTAATGAAAAGGTGCTTGACAAAAGTACGAACAATATAGTGTTAACAATTGATCTTCAGTCCGTACGTTTGTGCCCAAAATCAAATGTGTCATCTGACATGAGGGTTAAGGGGAACTTACTGCTAACTGCTTCACACCGATAATTTGTAAATTTGTCAATAATGAAGTAATTCGTAATCTAAAACCTGCACAACAAATAATATTATACAGTGATTGATGTAGTGCTCAAATTCGTAATTCTATTCTGGCTAACGGTATGTCGAATTTAGCAGTCGAGAAGGGAGTTTGTATCATTCAAAAATATTTGGAAAAAGATGCACGCCTTCTTCGAGCAAAGATTGAAAGGAGAAACAATTAATGTACCTGCTGATTACGTAGAGGTATATAAATCAGCCCGAAAAAATCAGAAGCCATATGAAATACGCTATTTGAACCATGAATAATTCAAAGACTATCCAAAATTAAATATAATGAAGTCGATCCGACCAGGATTTAAATCTGGTGATCCCATTGTAGTAGATTTGAGGGCCTTGAAATATAATGCTAATGGTACAATTGAATACAAAATGAGACATTCCAAAGAATTCTACCAAACAGGATTAAAAAACCCTTAGTATAATATACTACTAGATGAGTAATTATTGGCTTTATATCGGTATCAATTGAAAATCAAAAAAGAACATTTTAAACATCTTATGTTCTGGAAGAATACCATATACCAGGGATTATCATAATTTTTATGATAATGTAGGCTATGCCGCCCCTGCAGTATGTTTAGTTGACTTTTTGTTCTTCTTGTCAGATATGCGCTAGTTTAGTGTGATGTCATTTTGGTGCCACTGACATTTAATTCTAACCAAACTTTTAACAAAAACATCAATAAATTTGACATATACGTTTTTACTGTTTTTATTTTTTTTTTTAATTTGGTGTCATCGGCATCGACTACTAAGGTCATTAGCCTCGTGTTCTGTGTATGTAGATAACATGCATCAATTATACAATCGCTTAGTTACCAATTACATACCTTTAAACTATTTTTATGACTTGTTAACAATATTTAGAAATAAACTAAACACAGTAAAAACGCATATGTCAAATTTATTGATGTTTTTGTTAAAAGTTTGGTTAGAATTAAATGTCAGTGGAACCAAAATGACATCACACTAAATTAGCGCATTATAAAATGTCATCCATTTTTATTTATAACGAAAGTATACACCTACGATAACTTGAAATATGATTTTTTCTTATTTTGTTAACTATTATTTCAAACAAACCTGCAAATCATTGTAGTAAAATATATCTATTTTTATGTAGCAATTTTGCACGACTCCTCAGATGTTTTGAAATTGAAAATGAATTTGGCATGACTCCATTTTTTAATATGTGAGTCATAATATGCATAAAAAAACAATAATAAGTTCTCCCACAATTAAGTGATTGAAAAAAATCAACAATTAATCAACTCTTTCAATGCATTAAAACAGTTTTCTACTGTAAAATTACTTTTCACTTTAGGCCGACGCATTTGCACTTTTGCAGTTTGCAGCAGATATCGTCAGTATACAAGCAAGGGTGACCAAGTCCAAATTTTACATTTTTTAGTTTGTAATTTACATGTATACCTTAAATTTAATATTTATCAGAAAAAAATGAACTCGAAAAATGCCATTAAAATGCTTATAATTTAATATTTCATAATGACCAAGTCCTTTTTGTAAAGATATGTACAGGACAAAATGATTAAAATACTAATAACTCAAAACTTCTCTTGTATACCGACGGTATATCAATCACAGAATCAAATAAATCTATAAAAATTAGGTAGTTACTATTAAACTCTAAAGAATCTTCACATTGCACTTCGCATAAAACAATTTGGCAATTTTATTTAGTAAATTATGAAAATTTTGACACATTTTTTTATAAAATATGATCCAGAACAATTTGTAAATAAAATGATTTTACCTTAGAAGTTTATTTCTACTAAAAATTTTGTTGCAAGTTCCAAAAAGGTTTGAAAATTTACTTGAATTTTGACAATTTAGATTTGATAGATTGATTGATTAGTGATGATTAAAATGTTGAATCAATTAACCTTGGAATGCTTGCAATGACGATTAAAAAAAAATGAATATTTATTTGTTAAGGATATGAAGACTAGATAAGGAGGAGGCGAAATACGGTCTCAAAAAACGAACGCTAATTGAGTCTTCATAGTCGAGGGATGAGATCATGGAGGTAGAACCCAAACAACACAAATAGGTCCATTGGACGTTCATTCGTTATACAATTTTGGATGTCTGGACGTCTAAAAATTAGTTTTTTCTGGACGTCCCGTGAAGTATACATGGCACACTTTTGATCATTCACAGGACGTCCAATTCTGGATTATATTTGGATGTTGAATCTGGACATTCAAATAACGTCCATTTATAGATTATATATATTCTATTTACAAAACCGCTACTCACCACACACTATTTTATATTATTAATTATTTATTTATTATTTTCACAACCTGCTATACCCCATTTCTTGTTTTTAATTTAAAAATCGCTTAACCTGAGCGGGTATCGAACTCAAGGCACGTCCATTATCGTTCTACACTTTCAAGCACTAGACGATCTCGACCTAGGAGCCACTTGAAAACTTTTTACTAGATATGGTTATAAAAGAATAAGATTTCAAACTTTCGCTGATGAAATGATATGCAATAGATTCAATTTGTCAATTTTTAATGACCAATTGACCAAAAGAAAGTGTATATTGTAATGTTTGTTTATTTTAAACAACAGTTTATTATTAAGTTATTTAAACAAACACTTGTTTATTTTAAAACAATACTATTCTAATTTATATATATTTCGAATGTCTTTAAACTGTTCATTATTTATCTTCACAAATGTTTTTATAAACTGACTGCTGCGTTCTTCCTCCACTAATATTTATTTGTATACATATTTAAAATTCTGGTGGATTCTCAGGTGGATTCCAGAATGATTTCCGCCAAAACTAGAAACATTATCACGTTCTACCTGGAACGTTTTCGAAAGCACCTTCTCCATAATCGTCACATATGTTTGATCTTAAGGTGTTTAATTATGTATGATAATCGGACAAGTTGAGCCTCAAATGCCAAATAAGACAGAAAGGGACTTGGAAGATTAGAGCATGACTGAATAATAAAATGGCTCACATTACATTATTATTATTATTTGGTAGGCTAAATAAATAATGACCTAACTAAGATGGACGACTACTAGAACATAGAGCCAGATCAGTACCAGCGAACTACTACTTATTTCAGATTTACCTACGGTCCTAAAATTGAAAGATTATTATCCAAAGGTGCATATTTGTGTAAGATGTGAGTCCAGCTGTCCGAAGTGTCATATTTACCCCAGTCAGTTGAGCTATTAATTTATTAGTTTTATTAGTATCGGTATTTGGGTAGACCAGATTCTTAAATAATTTTAGGCTGGTATAATGAAACGGCAAATGCATACTGGGGCGTGTCAACCTAGAGACCCAAATGTGACATTACTGAATTATCACGAAGAAAAAACAACGCAAGAGGTATTATAATAAAACTTTAGAAAAATAACGCCAAAATTATTATTAGAAAAATATAAAAATATCTATCACAAATTATCGCTTGTTCTATTTGTCAAAAAAATTAATTTGGCAGATAAAACCGGTATGTTCCGCTAATGCTTACTGAGACAGCTATACAAAACCTTTTCAAATGGTACACATGGACGTATTTACTTTTATGGAAGGTAGTTTTTTACTGCAAGAAGACCTTACAAATTAATTTTACAAATTGCTAGTCGTAATCTGTCACGCCTCTTAGTTTACAGAAAATAAAATTATCTTTTTATAAAGGGTAGTTTTTCGATAAGACGTCAGTGGTTTGGGACTTCCAATTTTTTATTAAACCAACACCTCGACACTCCTTATTTTCATTAGTCGCTCATCATACAGCAAATTTTTAAATAGGTATATATCTAATAAAAACTTTACAAACCTCGCCCTTTAATCAAAACTTTCCTATGAATTTACACACATAATCAAATGCATTTAATAATTTCCAGAATTTTTTCAAACCTCTATGGTTCTTGGGATATGGTCGGCCATTCTAATTATTGGAATACTAGCTGTTGCCCGCAGTTTTGCTCGCGACTTTGCTCGCATGCATGTAGTCGTGTTAATGATATAAAAAAATACATGACTTTCCCCCCATTAAAATGTGAAAATCCAAAAACCCTGAAACACGTCATTAATAATTTGCGATCAGTAGCTGCAATTCCAATTTTCATGTTTCTAACTTCAAAGAGAACACAAAAATCGATAGTCCCATACAAACTTTCCCCCCTCCTCCGTTTGCCCCCTTTAAAATGTGAAAATCCAAAAACACTGAAACACTTCATTATTTATTTATGCTTAGTAGCTGTAATTTAAATTTTTATGTTTCTAACTTTAAAGAACAAAGAATTTCATTAAAAGCTCCCTCCCCCATTTCCCCCCTTAAAGTTAAAATTTCCAAAAATCCTTTCTTAGCGGATGCTTACGTTATAAAATAAACCTATGTTCCAAATTTCAGCTTTCTAGGCTCAGTAGTTTTGGCTGTACGGTGATAGGTCAGTCAGTCAGTCAGGACAAACAATTTTATATATATAGATGTATGTAAGCAATATTTCGTAAAAATATACAAAAATTACATTTTTAGCTTCTCCCATAGAAAATTGTATTGACTACGCCCTTGCTTTCTACACTTCTTTTTGGAATTATTGATTTTTTACTTAACACACACGCAGAGCGATTTTATCAACCGCTGGAATCCGTCCAAGGTTGACCATAATAATTTTATTTCTGTCTGTATTTTCCAAGTTCAATATTTTAGTCATTAGTCATTGGGGTACCTACGTGTATTGTGTTGATTAGACCAAAACAAACCACAAAACCGATCTACCTCACGAATATCACACAATCCACATTTTTAACTTGCCATTGCCAAGATGAGCGAAGAATTTGAAGTACTCGACACCCCTATAAAAAGTGAAAGTGACAAAAAGGAATACAAAGTGATCAAGTTAAAAAATGAATTGGTGGCTTGTTTGATTTCCGATCCAAGTAAAATTTCTCAGGGAGATGATCTACCTCAATTAATAAATGAAAATGGAACGGATGATAATGAGAAAAGTAAAAGTTCTGAAGAGAAGAAAGCAGCCGCTATGTTGTGCATTGGCGTGGGGAGTTTCAGCGACCCAAAGGATATACAGGGAATGGCCCATTTTTTAGGTAATTATTTCTCAAATTTTTACTGTTAAATCATAATTAGTTTATTTAGATATTAGCATGCATTTTAAAAATGTATATTTTTTAAACGAATGGAAAATAGAAACATTCAGTGTTCAATTAATTATCAATTTTTTGGCGCTTATTCTGATTATTTTTTTAGAATATATTTTTTTTTAATTTTTATGATTTTTAAAATGAGATTGTATACCTAATTTTTAATCAATTGGAAACCGCACTTCTTTTAGATATGCAACAGTGAAAAGTTTTTAAAATCTATGTAAAAATTTCGACTTGCACAATTTTGTTTCATTTGGAAAAATTCTACGACTTTGGCTTTGTTTATTTTTCATGTATTTACATTTTTGGTAGGATCTGCGTGACCAAAAATGCATTTAATATTGTTAGATTTTTTTTATTTATTTAGTTGATTCTTTTATAACTACAATTAAAATTTTTTGTACTAAAAAGAGTAAGAAGAGTGGCACGCGCTCACACAGATTACCATTATCATCCATTATCTTGCCTAGACAGAACCGCATTCAAAATTTTTTATTCAAATGATTTGTATGATAAATATGTATATCAAATATATAGGTATTTTATATTTTAATAGGTACATACAAACAATATAAAAAACTAAAAAAATGTTCACCTTGTGGTAATTTAGGAAGTATAGTCTTCAACAATACGTGTATCCCACGTGACTTCATCCTTCATGTCTTCAATCAGTTGGCTAAAACTCATGGTATGAAAAAGAAAGCTTAAACTGATATCTGACCTATTTGACAGAACTGATACTTAAGTTGTCATATAAGTCACTATAAGAACAGTCATTTTTAATAAATTTATTGTTTAACTAAATTACGTGGTATAGGTATTGTGGAAGACTTGTTTTATACATCTCAGGAAACAAAATGATTTAAATCTTAATATTTTCATTTGATTCTTTTCCAATATAAACACTAAATGTTGGTTATTTTTTCTCATATTTTTCGTTTTCTTCTCCTATTCTACACTTTCCAATTCATTTAAATCTCAAACTCGAGAGAAAGTGATTTCTCTCAAGATTTTTATAAGAAATGTCATATGCCAACGTAAAAACAGTATTTTTAAAGCCAGTGTGAACTCACTGCAGCGACGCATATACAGGGAGGGGGATGCAGGTAATTAAACTTTTTATATATAGGTACTAAATTTTATTATCAGAAATAAAGTTTTAAATATTACCACTGCACTGACTCTTTCTCTCTGTCTATTTCGAGTTAATTAAAATTATCCTACGAATTTTAATCCTCACGAATGACATTTCTTAAGATAGATGAGTTATCCCAAGTTTGAAAATAGGAGGTCCCCTGGTGGGCATCGTAAATAACTATACCAACAATTTTTACCACAGATGACTCCAGCTCTTTTTTATAACCTTCCGTCTTTTGGATTTTGTGTATTCTACTAGTCGAGCCCTTTCATTTGATACCCATATTGAGGGGGTTGAAAGAAAAATATAATCCCCCATTTTGTGGCGGCGCAAATCTTTATCATCTTAAGATGTGTAAGTAAAATATGAAATCCGCCATTTTATGCTGGTCCATCTTGAATTTGTTTTTTATGATATAATGTATTTCACTAGTTAAGTCCTTTCATTTGATATCCATATTGGAGGATTGGAAAAAAAAATGAATCTGCCATTTTGGGACCGGCGGCTATCTTGAATTTACAATGATTTTTTTTATTTTTACAACCTTCGGACTTTCCGTGGTACACCCTAATACGTCTATATAGTCTGGCGATACTGAAGCCTGCGGCTTATTGTACCACCATTTGAAGGTCCTACTACTTTCCCATTCACCAATTCACTCCCTTATTTATCGCCATTCATTCCACGTTGTCGATGGTTAACCGTCCCATGGTGGAACCTCCCAGTGGACACGCATTCACGACGTGACCGGAGAGATCACTGCTTAATTGTTGCGAGTATGTGGAATCACAATAAGCTCGCGCTAGCCTCTTCGGCAATTTACAATGATACTGAATATACATAATTATTGTATTATCATCAGAACTAAAGGTGTGTACCAAATTGCCATCTTGAATTTGGTTATTTTTAGGATGTACTGTATTCTACTAGTCAAGCCCTTTCATTTGATACCTATATTAAGGGGGTTGAAAAAAAAATGTAATCCGCCATTTTGTAGCGGCGGCCATATTGAATTTGATTTTTTTATGCTGTACTGTATTCTACTAGTCAATCCCTTTCATTTGACATCCATATTGAGGGGGTTGAAAAAAAAATGTAATCTGCCGTTTGGTGGTAGCAGCCATCTTGAATTTGATTTTTTTTATGCTGTACTGTATTCTAATAGTCAATCCCTTTCATTTGACATTATTATTGAGGGGGTTGAAAAAAAAATGTAATCTGCCATTTTGGGGCGGTGACCATCTTGAATTTACAATGATACTGAATATACATAATTGTATTGTCATCAGAACTAAAGGTCTATATCAAATTTTAGATCAATGGGTAAACAAGAAGGGGTAAAATATGAAATTAGCCATTTTGTGGTGGAAGCCATCTTGAATTTGATTTTTTTTAGGATGTAGTGTATTCTACTAGTCAAGCCCTTTCATTTAATACCCATATTGATCGTCATTTTGTGACGGCGGCTATCTTGAATGTACAATGATACTGAATATACATGATTGTATTGTTTTCAGAACCACACTCACTAATGTTTTCATTAGGTACATTTATATTTTCCAGACTTTCTAAAGTATTGGAATGATTGATGGAACACGTTTTTTAAAAAATAAATAAAAATATTTCAAAAAACGTATTTTTACATTCGAAGTAATTTAAAAAGTAAAAACCACAAAACTACGAACGTTTTAAGATTAATAGACTACAGTTCGTCTCTGCATGCAAAAATAAACTAATAAAAGTAATGCACTATAATGAATTTCCTTTTTATATGCAAATTCCTCATTACAGTACCACGATTTTCAAAATTTTACACAATTTGCATATATTAAAATTAGGTTGTCATCATTTGCATAGTTTACAATACTGAGAGTAGGTATACGATTTTTCAGAACACATGGTATTCATGGGCAGCGAAAAGTATCCAACCGAAAACGACTTCAGCTCTTTCGTGACCAAGCGTGGCGGTACGTACAACGCTTTCACGATGGAAGAACGCACCTGCTTCTTCTTCGACTGTCTCGAAAAACATTTGAAAGAAACTTTAGACAGATTTGCGCAATTTTTTATCGCTCCTCTACTTGATAAAGAAGCCATGACACGCGAAAGGCAAGCTGTCGATTCCGAGTTTCAAATGGCGACGGTTTCCGATTGGTGCAGACGGGAACAACTGTTCGTCAGTCTGGCTAAAGATGACTCGCCTGTCAATACGTTCACGTATGGAAATTTGAAAACATTAAAAGATAATATTGAGGATGATAAGCTTCACCAAGCTGTTCATGAGTTTAGGGAACGACACTATTCCGCGCATAGAATGACATTAGCTGTACAGACTCGTCTTTCTATGCAGGATATTCAAGATCTTGTATTGGAATGCTTTTCTAGTGTTCCTAATAATTCTATTCCTAAAGATGATTTTAGCTTCGCTGTAGATACTTTCGATACACCGGAATTTAACAGAATCTACTACATAAAACCGATAGACGAGACTATAGAGATGTATTTAAAATGGTCTGTACCGCCTCTTTATCATAAATACAAGACAAAAACGCTTTGGTACTTGGGAAACGTCATTGGAGATGAAAGTAAAGGCAGTTTATTGTCGTATTTGAAAAAACGAGTTTGGGCGACGGATTTATGCTTTTGTGCAGATGAAAATTCTATCTATTCCATCGCAACTTGTTCAATAAACTTAACAGAAGAAGGATCCAAACATTTGTTCGATATAATCGATGCGGTGTTTTCATATATCAATTTAGTTAGAAAATTAGGACCACAGGAGTATTTATTCGATGATTTAAAAAGCATCAGCGATAATTCTTTCAAATTTTCAACAGAAGTGCCTGCGCAATATACAGTTCTACGCTTGGAAGAACCCATGCATAGGTATCCACCTGAGCATTTTCTAACTGGTGACAATATTCATTACGAGTTTGATCCTGATGAGATTAAAACAGCTACAGATCATTTGGTACCAGATAAAGTAAATATTTCAATAATTAATAAAAACCTTCCGGATGGTTTAAAGTTTTCAAAAGTAGAACCATGGTTCCGTGCTGAATACATTGATCTACCGATAACAGATGATTTGAAACTTAAATGGGATAATATCGAGCCTTACGATGAGTTTGAAATACCAGCACCAAATCCTTATCTGACCAAAGATTTCGATTTACTCCCAGAAGAAGCTAACCATCCTGAATACCCACAAAAAATTGTATCTACAGATAAATACGAACTCTGGTATAGGAAAGATCAGAAATTTAAACTCCCCTTTGCTAATTACAACATATATTTAATCAGTCCTCTATTTATTGAATCACCAAAAAATTCAGCACTAACAGAATTATTAACAAGTCTAATTTCTTTTACTTTAAACGAAGAGACTTACGCTGCAAACAAAGCAAATCTTTATAGCTATATTTATTTTTATGATAAAGGTATTACCATTACAGTACAAGGTTACAACGAAAAATTACCGGTTCTGATGGACGTTATTGGTAATTACATAGTAAATTTGATGGATTACATAACTGAAAAGATGTTTTTAGAACTCAAAGAACAGGCTTTAAAAGAGCAGTATAATATGATACGTTCGCCTTACTCTCTAGCTTGTGATACCCACAATAAAATATTGATCAACCATAATTGGACTCCAATAGAAAAATACAATGCTTTACTAGATTTAACTTACGAAGATTTGTTAGGTTATATCGACAATTACCGGAAAGAACTGTACGCGAAAGTTTTAGTACAAGGTAACGTCACTTTAGACGTAGCTACCAACGCTGTACAATCCTTCATAAATGTACTACAATTCGATCCTCTACCTGAAGATAAATACCCTCAAACTGTAGTAGCCAAATTCCCTATCGGCGAAAAATGCTTGTACCTCCAATCTTTTAATAAACAAGATTCCAATTCTGTCGTAGAAAATTACTATCAAGTAGGCACGTACTCTCTAAGAGACACAGTCATTTCAGATTTGTTAATGTTGATGATGCAGGAACCTTCTTTCGATATTCTTCGCACTAAAGAACAGTTGGGTTACAGCGTATTTTGCAGCAACAGAAAAACGGAAGGCGTACTCATGTTTAATATATCCGTCACTTCGCAAGCGCATAAATTCACCACAGAACACGTAGATTCTAGAATCGAAGCGTTTATGAAGCATTCTCAAAAAATACTGGAAGACACTACAGATACAGATTTCCAACAAATCAAAAACGATTACATCAAAACTAAAGAGTGCGTTGATCTCCAGCTATCAGAGGAATTTAATAAAAACTGGACTGAAATATACGAAAACACTTACATGTTCGATAGGGCTGCAAAAGAGGTTGCAACAGCGAAAGAAATAACATTGGATGAATTCAGAAATTGGTGGGACAAGCATAATCATTTTGGCTCCAGAGAAAATTTCAGAAAACTTAGTTTGCAAGTCGAGGGGCACGTTCAAGAAACGAACGATGATGCTAAAGATGAGACTAAAGACGATACGAGAGTTGATGAGTTGTATGGCAAACCAATTTCGTTGATTTATTTGGGTAATAACGAGGAAAACAAGAAAGACGATCCTGAGTATTACATTGAAGATATTTACGAATTTAGAGAGAAATTGGATAGCTATCCTCCTAAGCTTTTGACAAGAGGGCCTTAAATTATTATTGAAGTAACTTATACAGAGTATTTGAGTTGGAAACCTCAAATTATCTACATTCATAGGTTTCTACTTAAAAAGAATGGATGGCATCATCATGGCAATAGTTATCCGAAATAAAAACAAAACTAAATTTAAAGTTAAACGTGTTTTGGCGTTTTTTACCTAAACTTTGTCTAACGTAGATAATATTAAGTTTCCAACTCAAATACACTGTATATATATATGTTCCGATAAACAATTCGTTGATAGTTCGGAATTATTATACGCGCGTGCGTCAACTATGAACATCCGAACTATATGCCATTCAGTTTCTTTTTAAATTGAGATCACGATGAATGACATTTTTTTTCATTTTGTCATTAATCGTTATTAACATTAAAAATGAAATCTCAACAGCACATAACCTCTGAAAAATATAAAATCTGTCAAAAGTCAAAATTTCATGGCTAGGCCCAATAAAAATAAAAACTGAATGGCATAAATTTGAGTATTTGTTGGAACGAATTTTAAGTATTTTACAAATTTCACTGAAGCTTTTGTGATTTTGAGAATGTTTAGATCTTTTAGCTTTTAAAAGAAGTAGATATGTACTTAGTTGTATTGGCTCTTGAACACTCATGTTTCGTAACCACAAGTAATTCACTTTGCACTGCAATGTGACTGCAATTTGCTTTTGTGGTTAAATGCGTGTCTTGAACTGTTGAATATTTTTTGAATCTGCACATTATTTTGTAAAACTGTGATATCCATGGTATTAGCACAGTTTAAAGAATATATTCTTTAAACTGTGGTATTAGATAAACATATTTTTATCATTTTAAATAAATATAAAGTAGAAGTGATACAATAAGGAATTTATTTATTTTTGTATCCTTTAAAAATCGAACGTACGTCTGTTCGCTATACTTACGCGGGTTTCGGATTAACAAAATTATGCAAATTAGTCATTGACAACTAGTTCCAATAAGCCTCTTTCCAAGAAATTAGGTAAAATTGCCTTAATGGTCAGATTTAAATTAAAATAACATTAGGGTAGGTACTAAATTTGTTAAATAATTAATTAATCCGAAACCCGCGAAAGTATAGCGAACAGACTGTAAAATGCATACTGTTTGGTTTTCACGAAAATGAGCTGTGATTATAAAAAATTGCTTGAGCACTTTTAAAATTTTTGAAAAATTGTTAAAAATAAAGTATTGTTGATTGCATGCTGTTTTTTATTACCAAATCCTCATTTTTTTTTAGCTTTCTACAGTGTATTGACGTTATAATGTTAAAATATTATCAAATCTCTAAATATCAACTGAACGAATTTAAAACATATTATATAAATGTAATACAGAATGAGAAAAGAAATTTTTACAATAAGAAATCTTTAACATTAGACAATAAAACGAAAACTGCTTGGAATATCATAAACTTTGAATTGGGCAAAGCTAAAACAAAAAATAATTTTTCTAAAGGTATCAGTATTGAGGGCCAGACACTCTCTTCACCAACTACAGTTGCTAATTATTTTAATGATTTCTTTGTCTCGGCAGCTACAAATGTATTAAGAGGTGGTCTAGTAATGTTAATTTAAACTATGTTGATGACTATCCAAGATCATTATACATATCGGATGTAACGCCAGAAGAACTAAAGAATATAATCAATCACTTGAAAAATAAACATTCAACAGGTGGTGATAACATCAGTAATGTGATGTTAAAATACATGAGCATCCATACAATCCTTTAAATCTGGTATTTTTCCAATGCGATTAAAGACTGCTGTTGTAATGCCTATTCACAAAAAAGGAGATCCTTTCCTAGTAGAAAATTATAGACCAATTAGTCTTTTGTCTTGTTTTTCCAAAGTTTTTGAAATTGCTATGTGTAACAGACTATTGTCATTTTTAGAGATAAATAAAGTTATCACAAGTACGTAGCATGGGTTTCAAAGTGGTAAGTCAACTACAACAGCAGTCTTCAATTTTGTTGAGAGAATTTTACACTTTTTAGATTCGGGAAATATTGTTCACGGAGTTTTCTTAGATTTAACAAAGGCGTTTGATTGTGTGAATCACCATATACTTCTTAATAAATTATACAAAATGGGGGTGCGATGTAATGCATATGACTGGTTTCATTCTTATGTTTTAAATAGGACACAACGGGTTTGTTATAAATATGACAATAGCGAATATTACTCTGAATCAAAAACTATGCTGGGTGTTTCACAGGGAAGTGTCTTAGGTCATATTTTATTTGTATTATATCTAAACGATTTACCAAAATTTTTTACAAATGATTCTGTAGCTCTCACTAATTATGCCGATTACACAAATGTCTTACTATCTAGAAACCATTACAAAGTACTTGAAAAAGATACCTCAAATGCTGTAGAGAGAATTTCAAAACTCGCTATTATTAAATTTATCTAAAACTAATTTTAAGCACAGTCGTAATAAAAATGAATATCCAGAGGATATTAACTTATGTAATATACATTACTAGAATATTCTAAATCGACAAAATTTCTCGGTGTAATAATTGATGAGCATCTAACTTGGGTGGAACATCTACATTTACTTTGTGGAAGACTCAGCAGAGCTTGCTTTGCATTGAAACAAGTTAAAAAAGTCGTAGATCATTCTTATCTTATATCAGTGTATTATCGATAATAATAATAATAATAATTTTTATTTACTAAAATACATTAATAAGATGAACACATTTTCTTTTTATTATACATATAAATATACAGTAGTTATTCAATGTTTACTTTAAGATAGCAAATAAAGATGAAAACACCCACAAAAGGAAGGCCTGAGCGTGGGCAATATTTTCATTTCCATTATTATCTATAAGTTTCAATTATATATTTCATTTCAAATTAATTTAAACAAGTAACATGGGACAGTAATTAATAAAGTGTAAAGTAAGTAATATAAAAAATAAAATTTATGAACATTTTTATCATTTTTATTTGAGAGAGACTTTTAAAAGATTTTCAGACTATAACAAGCAATATTTGAATTTAAAAATTTTTTTACTTTGATGATGGGTATTTGTGAAATCCAGTGACTAATTTTATTTTTGAAGAAATTATAGGAATTTATTTTTTTGCATTCAGAAGGAATATCATTATATAATTTAGGCCCTAGGTAAGTGAAGCATTTATTTTGTCCTATTCTTTTCTCTGTGCGAGGTACAACTGCATCAGTTTGTGCTATGGAATTATTTTTGGGAGGTTCGCACTGTCAAGAAGTCTTTGTAATACAAAAAAGAGCAATTCGAATATTGGCTATACTAGAACAAAATATTGGAGAAGGTGAGTCATATGCTTGATCAACACTGTTGTCTATGAATGAAAATTTCGACGGAAAGTGACAGTCAGCATAGGCGGCGTATCAAATACCAAATTATTATTTATTAGGTATTTGTTAGTAAACTTTATTAAATTTGTTTGTCAACATCTTTATTTAAACAAAGATGATGCGTTAAATATACGTTTTTGATAGTTTTCAAAAAATGAATACATTTATTCCCTAATGACTTCGTTATCTGTGTTTAATGGTTTTAAAAACACCGCTTTTAAAAACGTGTCATCTCCGTTCTTGGCAATTTCGTTGATCGTTACATTCATTTAGTTAGACAGACAAAAAAGTCCGTCCATGTGTGGACAGGTAAAAAGTCAAAACCCCTAAATTAGTTGATATCAGTTTTAACGCTGCAATAGAGAGTAAAATTTTGTAAGATGATACCCTAATATTTGGAGGCGATAACAAATGAATGTGTTTCAAGTAAATAAATGACAGACGGGTTACATATTGAATATTGTCAGCACAGGCACAAAGACAGTTGAAAACTAACTTTCGACGAAGTTAGATTTGTATCGCTTTAACTATTTACGATAATTATTTTATATTTTATGAATACTTTTTTGTATAAGTGCTCTTTTCTGATATACGAGTAGGTGTTCATGTTTGTGCCTTACAATTTGGTAGTGGTAGTGCATATTCGAGGAGTTATATTTATTGTGTAGTATATTAGATAGGTACTTTAAAAGTTTATTAAATAGTAAAATATTGGTGTCTTTATAAATTTAATAAAAACAATTTAATAGAATTATATTGTTACAATTTAGTAATGGATTCAGAGGCGGGTCCAAGTGAAACCCAATTACGTCGTTGAAAGCCCTTATCAAAGGATGAAAAAAACATTATATGGAAAGTGTATGATGAGCTGAAACAGACACTTCCTACAAATGAAGCTGTAAACCGCAGCTCTTTTTTAACTGGAGTATCTGTTTCAACAATTGAACGTATTGTACGCGAACATACAAAAAAATGCTCCTTAGAAGCCCCTAAAACGCATACCCGTGGTCGAAAATTGTTGAAATTGGATGATAACCAAAAACAAATCATTCGAAGAACTACATTCTTTTTTTTTTCGAAAACAGCCCCAACACTTCAAGTTGTTCTTACGAAATTAAGAGAAAACCAAGAAATTCCATTAATGAGCCGTGAAACTTTACGAAAAATTTTATGGTGCCTAAAATTTCGTTTTGTCAAACGGTGTAGGAAATCAATTTTAATTGAGAGGTCAGACGACGGAGTTATTTACGAAATATTAAACAGTTTAGAGTCGCTAAAAAAAAGATATACTATCTCGATGAAACGTGGGTGAATGCTAGACAGAAATGGAAAATAATTTTCAACACTCTAATTTTGATTTTGCTTACGCCATCTAGCGGCTATAGTGCGATTCTCTAAATAATTTCCATGGTTTTTATTGAATTTTTGTCACTAGAACCTCTTACTATTAACGGTTCTTTAGATATATAGCCGAAAGCTATTCTTATTGGTTGCCACCCTAGATCTCAAGCACCCACTTACTTACCCATTCTGATCTCCAATAATTCCGCAAGAATAACAATAATAAAAACAAGTTCAATCAAACTGTACAAATTACATTTTTATTCCCTTAAAAAAATCACATATATATCCTATTTCATAGGCCTTACGGGATACAATAGCAATTTCCATCTAAAATTATCTACATCTTTAATAAAATAATCCGCATTCTCCCCGTCCTTATTCGTTTCGCTCAATATCTTCAATTTAACAGGATTACCGATTAATTCTTCGCCGCTTCTCGATTCTTTACTTTTCTTATCCAAACAGTTCCCCACCACCTGTATACTGATCTTCCTGTAATTCTCCTGCGTACCGAACTGATTATGTCTATCCCACCAAGTCTTTAATTCCTCTAGAGTCACGTTTTTAATCGTTTCTATCTCTTGTTTGATTCTATCAAACATGTAATCATCGTTAACGATCTCATTCCAATTCCTATCGACTTCTTCTTTCAGATAAACATCACTGATCTCCTTCGTTTTGATCAAATCTTCTTTGATCTGTTCCCAGCTATCCTGCTTCATTTCTTTCAACAACTTTTGAGAGTATTTCAAGAAAGCATTTATCCTGGAATCTAAATGCTGCGTCGAAAATTTGTTAACTTGTGTTACAACTGTTATAGAGAAGCCTAAGATGCCGTAGGTGTCTCTAGCGGTGCAGTAAACGTGGTAGCCTAGTTGTTCTTTGGTTCTGAGGATGTCGAATAACGGTTCTTCAATTATTTGCATCATTATGTCGGTTAAAGCGGTGTCTTTTAGAGAGAACTGCCCGATTTGATGGTAGTTGGTTGTAATTGAGTTTGAATCGTTTTTATTAAACGATTCTACTAGTAAACATTTTTCTCCTAACGGTATTTGGGATACCAGAAAAGCTGGATACTGCTCTTTAGATAGCGGTATATAATCTAAATCGTCAACAAACTTATTAACTGTATTAACAGCTACTTCCGGTAACACGTTTCCTTGTACCAAAGCTTTGACGTACAATCCTTTCTTGTAGTTCTGTATAAATTTAACCATATCATCATAAGATAAATTCAGTAGCTCAGAGTATCGATCCACTGGAGTCCAGTAATTATTAATCAGTAGTTTCAATCGTAAATCTTTCGCTAAACCGGAAGGTTTTAAAAGTTTGTTGTAATAGTATTTTTGAACTGTTTCTTTAACGGCCTTAAACATATCTTCGTTTATATGATCATTTAGATTCTTAATGTATTTAGCGATAAGATCTATCAATTTAGGAACCTTCTCGTTGAATCCCCACGTTCTAACTACTATCCCTTTTTCCATAGTAGTAAAACTGTGCACTATATTCGCTATAGTGGCTGGATAAGCTTCTTCGGCTATAGAAAAACTAAGTAAATTCACATACATATCGAGTAATACGTAATTTTTAGCAGATTTAGTGCTATCACCGGTCACCAAATAGAAATAATACATCGCCATCGGTAATTTAAACTTTTGATCCTTCCTAAACCAGACCTCGCAGCCAGCATTCTCCAATAACTTAGTGGGATAATCAGGATTCTTAGCAAGCTCTGGTAGTATAGAAAAATTATCTGTCAGATACTGGTTCTGAGGTGGTATTTGAAGTTCTGAATAACCCTGCACGTACTGCCATTTATTCCTAACAGGTTCCGTAATGGCGACGTCTACGTAGCGGGTTCCGAACCACTTTTCGACCATTTCGAATTTAATGCCGTCCGGTGGATCTTTGGTGGTGATCATTACATTCAATTTGCTGGGTGTTAAATGATCTACCACCATCGTTATAGCTTTCGGATCGAAATCATAATACAACTCAGAACCTGCCATGTAATCTTCTGGAGGGTAGAGGTGCATCGATTCGCACAAGTTTTCTACCTGAAAGCGAATAGAAAATAGAAGAAGATAGAGATACCAATTATAATCAACTCACATTATTGACGGGCGTATCTTCAGTAGCAAATCTAAAAGAAGTGTTGCTGATCAACTTGATTTCGTCGAATATCCTTCTTTGCGGACCGACTTTTCTGATTAAGCTAATGTAGGAAAAAACAGCCTCGATGACCTCGTTTAAATGCTTCAGACCTTCTTCGGTGAGTGTTATGGACATGTTGAATAAAGCGAACATCGTATTGTGTTCGCTGCCGGACTCTTCGTTGCCGGCTTGAGCGGAAATCGCCCACATGCGCCTTTTCAGAAAGGATAATAAACTACCTGGAATATAAACGTTGTGTAACTAACTTTGATTAACTTAGTTAACTTGATTAACTCGATTAACTTGATTAATTTGATTAACTTGATCAATAAAGTGATCAAGTTAATCAATCAAGATAACCATCAAGTTAATCATCAAGTTAATCTTCAAGTTAATCATCAAGAAAATAATCAAGATAATCTTCAAATTAATCATCAAGTTACTCATCAAGTTAAACATCAAGATAGTCAACAAGTTAATTATCAGGTTAATTAATCATCAAGTTAATCTACTTAATTAACTTGATAAATCAACTTATCAAGTTTTCCAAATTGATCAATCAAGTTAATCTAGGTAACCATCAAGTTAATCACGTTAGTCAACAAGTTAATTAATCATCAAGTTATTCATCAATTTAATGATCTAGTTAATCATCAAGTTAATTAACAAGTTTATCATCAAGTTAATCAACTTTAGCTTTAATCAATCAAGTTATCAAGTTAATCAACTTGATTAGCTTTGATCAATCAAGTTAATAAAATGAATCAAGTTGATCAATCAAGGTAATCTTCAAGTTAATCACGTAGTTATTCATCAAGTAATCATCAAGTTAAGTTAATCTTCAAGTCAAACATCAAGTTACTCATCAAGATAATCAAAAAGTGAATTAATCATCAAGCTAATTAATCATAAAGTTAATTAATCATCAAGTTAATTACTCATCAAGTTAATCAATAATCAAGTTAATCAACAAGTTAGTCATCAAGTTAATCAACTTAATTTACTTGATTAACTTAATTAACAAAAAACATTAACGCTAGACAAATTCATTTTGTTCATTCACACAAATGATTTCCCAAAGATTGAATTACAAATACAGAAAGCCAAACGAAATGTCAATGTTACCATATTTTAATTCATTATACATTTAAAATACGATTCAAAATCGTTTCTTCGATCTATGGACTAGTGCCTGCAGTTAAACAGTGATGTATCCGGTCATGTCATGGATAAGTAACAAAAAAAGTGCCTGAACTAAAATTGTTGGAAAAGTTGGTTTGCCGGGTATATTATTTGAAATTTAGGTTTGTTTTTAGTTCTACATTTTCTTCATTATTACATCGATTTGAGAATTGGCTTCAATGTGAATGTAATTGACAGTTAATAGACTATTTACTTCTCTCCTTGAAATTAATATTTTGATTTTTTAATTGTTTTTAAAATTGGTTTATTGATATTAACCCAGCAACTGCGATTTATTTCAAAAATGTCTACCAATCTTAACTCTTTAACTTTCACCATTTTCAAATTCATTTAGAAATAAAATAAACTCTCGTGTTAAAATTGGGCCAATTATAATCAATTTTAGACACTCACCTTTTCCTTCGTCTCCCAACAAATAAGACACGTACTGCATTGGTTTGCTGCGATACTTGTGTAACAACGAAGGCAAACTCCAAGTCAAATCCAATTTGATCATTTCCTTGATAGGTTTGATGTAGTAGATCTTATTGAAACCGGGGGTGTCGAAGATTCCATCGGCATATGGACTGAAATCGTCTTTTTTCATCCTGTTATTGGTCACGGACGAAAAGCATTCCAGCACCAAATTTTGTAGAGTATCCAACGGTAGTCTGGCTTGTATGGCTAAGGTCATCCTATGAGCGGAATAGTGACGTTTCCTGAACTGATGCACCCCATCGTACAATTTTTCGTCGCTGATATTATCTTTTAAAGTCTTCAAATTCCCCCAACTGAATGAATTTACTGGAGAATTGGGTTTCGCTAAGCTAAATAACAGTTGTTCCTTTCTAGACGAATCTGACGGCAGCGCCATTTGGAATTCCGAATCAATGGCTTCCCTTTCGCGAGTCATTGCGCCTTTTTTCATCAAAGGTGCTATGAAGAATTGCGAAAATTTATCTAGTGCTTCGGCTAGGTGCTTCTCGAGGCATTCGAAGTAGAAACATGTTCGTTCTGCATCGGTAGAGGCATTGCTGTTACCACCGCCTTGCAACAAAACAAAGAATATACAGTGTGAGTCAAAACTAATGAGACGCTAGTTTTAATATGAATTGGCTATCTGATAACTCAAATAGTTATAGACTAAGAAACTATATTAGTGATATAGATTTTAGAAATGTGGAACTCAAATTACTCATCCTGATAACAATAACAATGGAGGCACACTTATTGACTTAGTAATAACCAACTGTTTAAATATAAGGACTGAAATTTGTCTCGCTCCTAAATAAGAATCCATTTTAATGTCGAGGTGTATAGAGATTTTCAACCAATTAATAATAAGAAGTCGTAGAGTAATTGATTTTGAAAAAATAAATTATAAGTTGTCTCAGGTCAATTGGAATATACTATCAATATTAATGAGAGATATATTAACTTCTACCAACATTTAATGACAGTATTTGATGAGGTGGCACCAAAAAGACCTGTTAAGATATTTTCTAATTATAAAGACTGGTGGAATCAGAAAGTCAGAAATGCTATCAGGAATAGGGATGATAGTTATAAAAGGTATGTATCTAACAAAACTGAAGAAAATAGGCAAATATACAAACAAAAGCGAAACATACCTAGCAGTTAGAGTTATTAGAAAAGAAAAAAGTAAATATTATGAACGGCAAATAAATGAAAATAAACAATATTCTGTTAAACTTTGGAAAGTTATGAAAGACCTTTTGCCTAAAAATAAACAAAATAACTTAACGGAAATAGAGATAAATGATAATGTAATAATAAAAGATATAATTGAGATCCCCAATGCCCTTAACAACTTTCATATTGATAGTATAAAAGAAATTATTTCTAATATAAATCGTAATAATAGAAATTTTCCTGTAGCACTTAAGAATAATCATGTGTTTTTAAGAAATTTAACTTCATTGACATTGACACAATGAGAGAAATTATTTTTGACTTGCCCAATAAAGGAAGTTCTGATGAAATAAATGCCTCCTTTTTAAAAAACTGTTTTGCATAGTGTTGCCATTGCTTAATATAAACACCTCCTTAGAAATGAATATAGTTCCTACAACCTTGAAAACTTCAGTTATCATACCAATCCCTAAAGTTTCAAATTCAAATAAAGCAGCAGACTTAAGACCGATTAATATGCTAAGTACAATGGAGAAAGTATTAGAAAAATTTGTTTATAATCAACTTATTCATTACTTAGAGGAAAATAATCTATTTAATAGTATACAGTCTGGTTTTCGAGGAAAGCATAGTTGTGAAACAGCAATAGGTACAATATGTCCTAGATCACTTCAAGCAAAATAAAAATAATAAATTAATTACTGGTGCTCTATTTCTTGATTTACAAAGAGGATTCGAAACTGTAGATTGTACATTACTTATTAGTAAATTAAAAAGTTTTGGAATAGTTGATGATGCATTACAGTGGTTAATAAATTATTTAGATAGCAGAAAACAGAAGCTAAAGTTTAACAACATTACTTTAGATGAAATCCAAAATGAACAAGATGTCCCGCAAGGAAGTGTGTTGGGACCATTATTGTTCCTCTTGTACATTGATGATATATAGCACGTGTCGCAGGAAACTGTTACATTATCTTATTTGTGGATGACACTTTGATCTATTTTGCTTCAGACAAGTTACATGAAATAATTGAAAATATAAATAACACACTAAAAGAAATATTTCAATGGTGCTGTTTTAATTCTTTAAAAATTAACAACAATAAAACTAAGTTCATGATTATAGGAAATGACAAAAACTATCAAGAATATAATATTAGTAACCTAAAAGTAAATATAGAAAATAGTAGTATTGAAGTTGTTAAAAAATTTAAATATCTGGGTGTCATAGTTGACTATATGTTACTATTTAAAGAACATGCTAATTATGTTATTAGAACAATATCATTTAAAATCAGCTATTTATATAGATGGTCTTTGTCAAGGGTCTGCAGGCTTACAATGAGTTACCAGTTGAAATTAAAAATGCTATCTCATTAAATAATTTTAAATATAAACTTAAAAACTATATTATGTTGACACAAAGGGTATAAATAAAAAAAGATACAACAAAAAAAGATTTTAATTGTAGATGTAGAGAGGTTTTAATTGTAGATATACATTTAATTTTATATTTTACATGTATATATATTTTTTTATTCATATTTAGACATTATACATAATGTATAAACTATACTTATTGTTGTAAAAACGGTACTAAGTATTTTTGTATTAGCAAAGCTAAATAAAGAATTTAATTGTTATTATTTAATTTATTTTTACTAGATATTACAAACCAATTAGTTTAATATAAAATATTTTAAAATAATTAATACACTGAGACTTGTATTATGCAATAGTAATTAAAGTAAAAACAAATTTTATCACAAATACTTTTTTTTATTTAAAAAAGTGATATTTTGAAAAAAACTGTAATGTATCTGTAGAATCACTGCCCAATTCTACAGGGAGGTCATCAAGCACACCAAATTTAAATAGTTAAACTCATAATATAACCCTTGTTAAACAGTACAAAGGGCTAAGGTTAAAAAATAATAAAGTTGTGCTTTTAAATATAAAATAAAACTGTTTGAGTGGACATACCTTTCTTAATAAATGAATCAAAATCATTTTCAGCCGGATACTTTTCACTGCCCATAAAAACCATATGTTCCAAGAAATGAGCCATCCCAGGTACTTCACGTGGATCACTAAAACTACCTACACCGATGCACAAAGCAGCCGCTGCCATTTTTTGGATATTTCTCTCACCAGTTTCATCACATTGCGAGGAAGTATCCATGCTTTCGCTACTTTTATCAGTCTCTGATCCTGCTTCAGAAGCCTGGCTGGATTCTGATTCAGAATCTGATGTAAGGAATTCGTCCCCTTCTAAGTCTGACTCGGTTAAAGGAGTTTCGTCTGATATCAGACATGCTATTAATTCGTTCTCTAACTTTATAACCCTGTATTCCTTTTTGTCACTTTCGCTTTTAATCGGCGACGGTAGTATTTCGAATTTTGGAACTGAAGTGGCCATTGTGAAGTTACGGCGTTTACATAAATATCTACTTACTGTAACTAGATTTTTGTGACTAGAATTGAAATTCGAAGAACTTGAAATTTTTCTTAAACAATTTTGAAAAATGGATTTGTATTTCATAAGGTAGATATCATCTGTTATCGAGGTTCATTTTTAAATCCCTAATTGGTTTTACATTGGATTTTTTCATTCAAATTTTTGTCAAGAGGATTTGTCACCTACAAAATATAAACATAACCTTAATGTTTTTCTTTCTAACCTCAATTAGTTTTTTTATCATAAACTGAATAATCCCTATATTATAAAAATTACCTAACAAATTATTATTATTTTGGTTTTTATCGCAAATAATTATTAATAAATTGTATATTAACTTGAATTGAGACTGGTATGAAGTTAGGAGTAGTTAATATGTAATGTCACAAAATAATAGTAATTTTTACTTTTAAATCGTTGGTAATTATGAGTCAGTTGGTAAAAACATTTTATCAAATGCAATGATGTATTTAGTTATATACATTGCTCACTTTCCCTAATATATATGCCTATATGTTAAGACACTGAACAGAACCGTTCTGGCTCAAATGTGCTTTAAAATAGTATTTCAGCATTTGAATATTAAAAAAAAAAGAATTATCTTAATATTGGGAAGATATGTGTGTGTGTGTGTGTGTGTGTGTGCGCGCGCGCGTGCGTGCGTGTGTATGTGCGTGTGTATGTGCGTGGGTATGTGCGTGTGTGCGTGGGTATGTGCGTGTGTGTGTGTGTGTGTGTGTGTGTGTGTGTGTGTGTGTGTGTGTGTGTGTGTGTGTGTGTGTGTGTGTGTGTGTGTGTGTGTGTGTGTGTGTGTGTGTGTGTGTGTGTGTGTGTGTGTGTGTGTGTGTGTGTGTGTGTGTGTGTGTGTGTGTGTGTGTGTGTGTGTGTGTGTGTGTGTGTGTGTGTGTGTGTGTGTGTGTGTGTGTGTGTGTGTGTGTGTGTGTGTGTGTGTGTGTGTGTGTGTGTGTGTGTGTGTGTGTGTGTGTGTGTGTGTGTGTGTGTGTGTGTGTGTGTGTGTGTGTGTGTGTGTGTGTGTGTGTGTGTGTGTGTGTGTGTGTGTGTGTGTGTGTGTGTGTGTGTGTGTGTGTGTGTGTGTGTGTGTGTGTGTGTGTGTGTGTGTGTGTGTGTTTATATCCACCATAACTGATGAACCGATACAAAGAACATCGGAACATCTGGGGGGTATTTTATGGGAGACCATTTTTATATTTTATGGAATATATCTGTTATTTATGTTTGGAGAAGAAATTGTTCAAAAAAAGTTACTTCTAATATTATTATCTATAATTTTTGTTTTATGTCAAATTTTCCTGAAATGGTCCGTATTCGAGAAATTTGACAAAATGTGCAAAATTCTGATTTTTAAGAAAATTGTTAAACTAAAAGTTGTTTGCGATATCGATCTTTATAATTTTTGTTTTTACATGATTTTTCTAAAATGGACCGTAATGGAAAAGTGCTAAATTTAAATTTTTCAGTATTTTTGTTTTCAATGAATATCTATAAAAAAATGTTTCGAGTTAGATGAATGTGGAAAATGTGTATATTTAGTTTATCCTGTAAACATTTATGGAGGTGCTGCAATAGGTTGTACAAAATAACCGGAAAAAGCCTATAATAACACGAGTGTCTCGCGACAGTAAGATGTAGGTTGCACGGATCATGCGCATTAAGCTAAATGTACTGACAACTTGCGATGATGTCAAATTTAGCAAATCTACCGTGATTCTACATTTATTGTATTTGTTTTCACATACTTCGATTTTTTTTACTTTGTTTTACTCCATGACTCAAATGTATCTTGTTAAAGATCCCATGTGGTAGGTATCCTAGACATAAGTTTTAACATCTAGATAGGAAAGTCATGTGTTGGACACATCAGATTTTTTATTTTGACAGAATAGGTTAATTCTTTAAAGACAACTTATTAGACTTAGGACCGATTCCACCATTGTGTTAAACGAAGTTTAAAATGACATTTTTACATTAACAATGTCATTTTAAACTTCGTTTAACACAACGGTGGAATCGGTCCTTAGGCAACTTATCATACATTTTCTCGTAAATACTGTTGCCTACCTTTATTAACCGACTTCAAAAAAGGAGGAGGTTATCAATTCGTCGTGATTTTTTTTTATGTACAGCGATTATTCTTTAACGCGTTGTCCGATTTCAATGATTCTTTTTTTTGTTAGAAAGGGGGTACTTCAGGGGTGGTCCCATATAAATTTAGTCAAAATCTAATAATTGAGTCCATTAGAAAATCCTCAAACTCTTCATTAACCGACTTCAAAAAAGGAGGAGGTTAGCAATTCGTCGCGATATTTTTTTTATGTATGTTTAGCGATAATGCTTTACTACCTTGTCCGATTTATATGATTCTTTTTTGTTAGTAAGGGGGTACCTCAGGGGTGGTCCCATATAAATTTGGTTAAGTTGTAGAGATGGCATCTGCACGATTTTGAAGTCGGTTTTTTTTAATTTTTAATTTCTAATACTTGTTTTATTATCGATTTTTATTGAATATACCTACCTAATTTTTTTTTTAGTTTAAGCGATAACAATACATTATAATAAATTAATGTTTTACTTGTTATATAAATCCATATACTTTTATTAAAACTAACATATATATATATATATATATATATATATATATATATATATATATATATATATATATATATATATATACACTTTTTATTTACTAATTCTATTATAAATTGTATTGGGTCCTATGATTGAACGTTTACGTTATCCGTAACGTACATGTTAGGCCGAGTTTTAACAGTAATGAGGCAAGTTCGTATGATGGAAAACTTTTTCCAACACGTTACTGTTATTTTCCGCCTGTTATCTTCTAATTTAACAGTTTTCCATCATCCGAACTTGCCTCGTTACTTTAAAAATTCGGCCTAACATGTACCTTACGGATAACGTAAACGTTCAATCATAGGACCCATTGGGTCCTATGATTGAACGTTTATGTTATCCGTAACGTATATGTTAGGCCGAATTTTAAAAGTAACGAGGCAAGTTCGTATGATGGAAACCTGTTAAATTAGAACATAACAGGCGGAAAATAACAGTAATATGTTATGAAAGACTTTACATCATACGAATTTGTCTCTTTGCTGTTAAAACTCGGCCTAACATGTACGTTACGGATAACGTAAACGTTCAATCATACCACCCATTGTCAGTATAGACAAAAGTAGTCCATTAGTACAAAAGTAATTAGCGCTGCTGTCGCGTACGGAGCGAATAGATGAACAATCTATAGAACTATATATCATTGATAAAACGTAATCAAGAAATGAGAAATAGAGAAATGTCAAATATGAAAAATGTTTACTTCAAAATTATCAACTTTCAAGCCCATACAATTTTTTCCTAATATTTTTAAACGCGACATAGTCAATATCAAAAAAAGAAAAATGACTTGGGAAGACGAGAAACAGAAATATTCAAAGATGAGCGTCGACGAAAAGCGTCAGATTTACAAATCTTACGTGAAATTGGACGATATTCCAACTTGGAAACAGTTCGCCGATAACAAAAAACTTTTACCAAAAATAGAAATGTTACCCAATTGCGAAATTGATAATACGAAAAATTCAACTTTAGCCGATAAGATATCTTATTTTAGCGGCGATATTACTCATTTGGAGGTGAGTTTGGTATACAAAATAATCGCTAACCTAACAAATACAAATAACTCTTTAAATAAATAAATATACTTTATTTAGCTCCAAAGGTATTACATATACATGAATTTATCAAAAAAAAAGAACAATATTTAATAAATTTTAAGTGTATATAATGATAAAATAAAGTAGGTAAATTATAAAATAAAATTAACATTTTTTTGAAAGTTCTTATGTTTGGTGCAGCTTTTTCAATGAAGGGAATATTCTTATATAACCTTAGACCTTTGTAATATACCCTTAAATACATTTTAATTTCTACTTGTACAGTTTGAGTAAACTCAGCATTCTTTTAAAGATCGATGCTGTAGTAAATGCAGCTAATTCAAGCCTTTTGGGTGGCGGTGGAGTAGATGGGGCTATCCACAGAGCAGCAGGAGGTACTCTTAAAGAAGAATGTAAAACTTTAGGTGGATGTCCCACAGGTGAAGCTAAAATTACTGGAGGTTATAAGTTACCAGCCAAACGTATGTAGTTATTTATTCCAAATATTGAGAGATTTAAAATGTCTGTATTTATTTCTAGATGTGATACACACTGTGGGGCCTCAAGGTGAAAAAACTGACTTGCTGAAGAATTGCTACAAGAATAGCTTGAAGTTAATGTTAGATAACAAACTAAGATCTATAGCATTTCCCTGTATTTCAACAGGAATATATGGGTATCCCAATTTGCCTGCAGCTCATGTAGCTGCGTACACAGTCCGTAAACATTTAGAGGCCAACGCAGGCGCTGTGGACAGGGTAATTTTCTGTTTATTTATGGATGAAGATAAGAAGATTTATGAAGGATTGTTGCAAAGTTATTTCCCTTTGAATTAGGATTGTTGTATAGTTGTTTTTTAATATAGGGTTATTTATTTTAATTTGCTGACAGGTACTAGAAAAACACTTAATAAACGTTTAAACTTCAAAATTGTTAAGTCAAAACAAAAAAAATGTTACACCTGTATACCTAGTATTTTTCTCATGTTGAATTTGATACAAGTGGATATTTAATCTGCCTTTGCTATTATCAATTGGTTCTTATATAGTTGGAATTGAATTTTATATAAATTTGTAATAAATTGTTTAACCCCTTGAATATATTGTTTTTTATGGTTATTGTGTAAATTGTTTTTTTTTCATCTAAAACTATTAACGTGTCTATAATAAAAAAACCTGATGTGTCCAACACATTAATTTTCTTCTCCAAACATAAATAACATATATTACATAAAATATAAAAACGGACTCCCATAAAGTACCCCCCTAGATGTTCCGACTTTGTCCAAAATCTAATCATTTCACGTCAGGCCGAAATAAAACTTAAGTTAAAAAATTTTTTTTCTTTATCCGTTTTTGAATTTTCTTCAAAATTCGAAATTTACACATTTTCTCAAATATCTCGAATACGGTCCATTTTAGAGAAATTATGTATGAGATAAAAATTATAGAGAATTACATTACAAACAACTTTTATTTGAACAATTTTTATAAAAAAAAATTTTTTTTACATTTTGTCAAATTTCTCGAATACGGACCATTTTAGAAAAATTTTGTATAGATAATAATATTAGAAGTAACTTTTATTTGAAGAATTTTCTTCTCCAAACGTAAATAACAGATATATTCCATAAAATATAAAAATGACTATCTATAAAGTACCCCCCAGATGTTCTGACTCTGCCCAAAATCTAATCAGTTTATTGGAGCTGGAATAAAGCTTAAGTTTAAAATTTGGTATTTTTCTGTGTATCGGTTCATGAGTTATGGTGGATACAGACACACACACAGACATCATCGTGAAAATAGTCAAAACAGATTTAGGGGACCTCAAAAAGTGAAAATCGAGGTCGAAAAAAATGATTCCTATACTTTCCTTATATCTGTATACAGATAGGAAAGTAAAAACAATACCTTATAAAGTACCCCCCTGATGCTTCGACTATGCCCAAAATTTAATTACCTAACTGCAGGATGGATTAAAGTTTAAAATTTGGTGATTTTATTTTTCCATTTTTGAGTTATCTTTAAAACTCGAATTTTTCACTTTTTCCCAAAATATCTCGAACACGACGCACTTTAGGGAAATTATAACAGAGCAAAAATGATATTTTGATTTAAACATGTCATTAGTTTCCAAATTAGTCTATCTGTACGGTATAACAACGGCGTAATTTTATATCCACACGCGGCTGCTAAATGGTATAGTCATAGATAAACTAATATTAATTTATCTATGGGTATAGTTGCGTCAGTTTTAAAATATTAACGTTTGCCCCTCCACTTTTGGAAACCAATGACACATGAATCAGTTTTGTCAGCAATTTTAAGGGCCACGTTACTTACTTCATGGTTAAATGTCGTATTTGCTATTGAGGACAAGTTCTCTGTGATTTATGTGCAAAAATTTGGAATTAATAATATTCGTTTTTTCTCTCCTGAAAAATTTATAATTTTGCATTTGCGTCATTGTTTTACCGGAACAGCGAAATGTCTTTGCCAAGCGTAAATAACATATTCCATAAAGTAGAAAAAATTACCCCCTATAAAGTACTAGATGCTCCGACTATGCCCAAAATCTAAATTCATTAGAGGATGGATTAAAGTTCAGGTTTAAAATTTAGTGTTTTCTTTTCAACCATTCATTAATTATTCGAATATACAGACATCATCACGAAAATAGTTAAATCGGATTCTTAAATTCTGTCTAAAATTAGATGTCGAAAAAATCATGATTACTATATTTTTCTTCTGTACCTATACAGACAGGAAAGTAAAAATAATTCAGATATATTAAAGAAAAAACAAATTTTATTTAGTTATATTTATATTAATATTTAAGATAAATTAAAAAATATATAAATTTTATTTATGCATAATTTCCTAATTATTCAACCCATCTGAAAAATAAAAATTGACAGCTGCGTTCAATGAGTTGATCGGAATACGAAAAATATACCAAAAAACTCTCAATTCAAGAACAATGAAACGGAAAATACCAAAATCAACGAGACAGACAAGAGCAGCGATCGTTTCGCGCATGTCGATTGACTTTGCTCTAGTGCTTGTCTAGCCGAAAAGAGGGGATAAAAAGAATTCTCAAGAACACGGTCGAGTGTATCGTCGTGTATCTTTTTCTTTGGTTATTGTCGAATTTTAATTAAAAACATTTAAAAAACCAATAAAAATTAGTTATTCGTGCGTGTGGTTAGTGTATAGTGATGGCATCGGACGAGGAAGTGGATGAATCTTTCGCCGGTAAGTTTGTTTTGTCTGCTTTGCATAGGTGTAAACGTAAGCCGACTTTAAACTCGTGTTTATATTTAAAAAAACACAATTTATCATCGTATTTCTTCTCCAATCTAACTGTAATCGCAATTATTCGGCACTTTAGCATTTAGAATCGGTGTTTCAGCGATTAATCTAGTAGAAAAATCGTAATTATTACCAACAATCAGATACATTAGTTCCGCGGGGAAGGGGGAGGTAGATTTTCATTATTTTTGTGACAGCGCGCGGGCATATCCTGACCCTTAACAAAATGGTGGATATCAAACAAAGAGATTGGCAGATTGCAAATTATATAATTACGATTAATAATGGTTAATGTCAATTTGGGGTTAGAAATTTCGTATTTTCCCTCCAAAATATCGCCCGAATGTCGGGGTCGCGTTGACCGACGTCCGCGTGGCTGTCACGTTGGAATTGTAATTGTATTTTTTTAGGGGAGGAAGATGCCCCCGAGGACACGGGGGAGCAAGCCGACAATGACCAGGATTCCGAAGATGCTCTGCCTAAAGGAGGGGTAAAGGTCTAGTTATGCTCTCATTCATTTTAACCATCAATTTTTCACAATAGAAGTTTCATCAACATCAATTATTTTAAATAGTTAATTAAACTAGTAAAACAGTAATTATAACTAAACTTTTATAATCTAATTACAAATGTTTACCAAAATAATTGTAATAAAAGTTAAGTTATAATAATTGTTTTGTTGCATTTAACACGTTAAACGCCATGAAGGTCCAACAGTAGGTCAGATATCGTTTTTAGCTGTCAAAATCGCTTTGTTATTAAACAATTGAGGATCTTGTTGCAAGAAAGGGGCATTTTTGTTAACTTTTTGGCAATATAAAAAAAATCATAAAAATTGCTGCTTGTTTTAACCAAAATTTAACAAAAGTTTTAGCAACATCAATTGTAATAAAATTCAAATTCTTCATTTAAAAAAAAATATTTAAGGAGTCTAAAAAGACACCATAAAACCATAATCCAGGTAGTAAAGAATTTTCTACATAAAAGCAAAAATTGCAGTGATAGTTGATTTACCCTTTTGAAAACCATGTTGAGAATTTGTTATGATCTTATTAGTTTGCAAAAATAGTTCATTAAACTATTAAAAACATAAATTATAACCAAACTTTTACAATCTAAATACAAATATTTACCAAAACAATTGAAGCAAGGGTTCACCATATCCGATTGCTTTTAAATTCCACTAAATGTATTAAAATGAATCTTCTACTAGCTTAAAGTATAAGATTTGGAGAATGAAATCTCCTACTTTTTATTTGTCCTATCAATATACTGAATTTAAAAAAAAAAGTTTATTGGGTATTTTTCAAATCTAAGGAATTACAATTAAGAAATATTTGAGAAATTTATTTGTCAAAATAGATATTTTCTATGAATAGGGTGAACCGTCCGGTTATTGACCACATCCCAGTAAATGACCAATATTTACTGATTTATGATTTATTAAGAATTTTTAATAACCTAAGGCATCATATTATACAGCAAATTGTTCCTCACCTAATTCTCAATACATTGTTTATACATTTGACAACACTGCTCATAATCGGCAGTTTACAAATGTCAGTTAAAAGTGCATGTGTTTTTGTTTCCATCTCAAGTAATTAAGGTAAGTAGAACTGTTTTTTATTTTGTAAAAAATATGTATTGGAGTTGTAAAACTATTATGTTATTTGGACTAAACTGTATGAAACAACATCAATTTAGTATTTTTTAGGCTGTAATACTAATATAACCTCAAAAAGCATTTATTTTTTAAATGGTCAATAATAGGTAATGCTAAAGCTGAAAAATTCAGTGAATTTTAAAATAATTTGTTTTGAGAATGTACTTCAATCACTATATGGATGCTTCTTTTATGCAAGCATTGTAAATAATGAGGGGATCGACTGGCCTATAGATGACCACTCTTATTATCTAACTGCTCTTCTGGTCATTCACTGGATATTTAGCCTAGTCAATGACTTTTGCTGTTTATGTATTAAAATATTATTTGTGTAATAAAGCTAAGATTGTATAACATTTATTTTCAGAAAACAAAAGCACCCAAAAGAGCATAGGTATACAAGATTTAAGAATTCCATTGAAGATCTAAAAGCTGCATTGACAGAAGTCCAAGAAGGAAGAATTAGTGCTACTAAAGCCAGTAAACAATTTAAAATTCCAAAAGGCACTTTAATTAATAAACTGCAAGCAGTAAGAAATATGGGCCCACCAAGAATCTTGACTGCTCAGGAAGAAGATATGTTGGAGAATTGGATAATCCAAAAAGCAAAAATTGGGTTTCCTATGCATCCAGATGAAGTAAAAGATGCTGTACAAAAGGTAATGGAAGAAACCCAGCGTCCTAATCCATTCAACAACAACCGCCCCAATGATAAATGGCTAAAAGGATTTTTAAAAGTAAAGCCAGATATTGGTAAAAGAAATGCTGAAATTATTTCCAAAGCTAGAGCTAGCATCACTGAGCAAGATATCAGAAAGTGGTTTCAGGATCTTAAAAGTTATTTAATAGAAGAAGATGTTGTTGATGTTCTTGAAGATGCTGATCGGGTCTATAATGCTGATGAGACTGGGGTGCAATTATGCCCCAAAACAGGAAAGGTGCTAGGGCCAAAACATTTTAGAAATTTTTATGATGTTGCTGTCAGAAAAGAAAAAGAGTGCCTGACTGTATTAGCAAATTTTTCTGCTAGTGGAAAAGTAGCTCCAACACTTATAATATATCCATACAAAAGAACACCTAGAGACATTGCTAACCCTGATAATTTTTATATTGGTCGAAGTGATACAGGTTGGAAAGTTGGTCCTACATTTTTTGAGTATGTGGCGAAAAAATTTCTATCCATGGCTGTTAGATAATAACATAAAATTGCCTGTTCTCTTTCTGCTAGATGGACATAAGTCACATATCAGTCTTGAACTAGCCACTTTTTGGCGAGAAAAAAGAATTATTTTATATTGTCTATTACCAAATTCTACACACATATTACAGCCATGTGATGTTGGTATCTTTAGACCTTTAAAAGTATCCTGGAGGAAGCAGTGTTAGAAATATACTCTTTATTAATTTTTAAATTTTTTTATTAATTTTTATTAAATTTTATTTATTTTTATTAATTTTTAATAATTTTTATTAATTTTTAATAATTTTTATTAATTTTCACCCCCGTTTTCCCCCCTTAAAATGTGAAAATCCAAAAACCATGAAACATTATTTTTGATTTTTAGTAAGTAGCTGTAATTCAAATTTTTATGTTTCAAACTTTAAATAAAAAAAATTATACATAGTATTAAACAAATTTTCACCCCCCATTTTCCCCCTTAAAATGTTGAAATGCAAAAACTCTGAAACACTTAATTATTTATGTATGATGAGAACATACAATTCCAATTTTCAAGTTCCTACTTTTAAAAAAATCGATATTTCCAAATAAACTTTCACGCCCCCGTTTCCCACCCTTAAAATGTGAAAATCCAAAAACCCTAAAACACGTCATTATTTATTTGTACTCTTTAGCTGCAATTCCAATTTTCATGTTTTCAACTTTAAAGAGAACCAAAAACATAGATAATCCCAAATAAATTTTCACCCCCCCATTTCCCCCCCCTTAAAATGTGAAAATCCAAAAATCCTAAAACACGTCATTAATAAGTTGTAGTCAGTAGCTGCAATTCCAATTTTCATGTTTACTTCATAGAGAACAAAAAAAATCGATAGTCCTATACAAACTTTCACCCCCCGTTTTCCCCCCTTAAAATGTAAAAATCCAAAAACCCTGAAACACGTCATTATTTATTTATGCTTAGTAGCTGTAATTTAAATTTTCATGTTTCTAACTTTAAAGAACAAAGAGTTTCATTAAAAGCTCCCTCCCTCTATTTCCTCCCATTTCCCCCCTTTAAAGTTAAAATTTCCAAAAATCCTTTCTTAGCGAATGCTTACGTTATAAAATAAACATATGTTCCAAATTTTAGCTTTCTAGGCTCAGTAGTTTTGGTTGTAGGCTGATAGGTCAGTCAGTCAGGACAAACAATTTTATATATACAGTGAGCACCATCCATATCTAACTCGTTACTGGAGTCTTGTTAGGAAAATCGCCGAGACACGTCGATTTTTGATTTCTACAATGTACATTTTTGTATGAATAGTTTACCCTTAATTTCATCCCTTACTGGAGGGGAGCAACCCTTTCGAAAAATTTAAATGGCATGGGATGGTGAGTGATAGCTCATTTGAAAGAGGGTTTTTTTTCTCTATTCAACCGTGTAAAAAAATTTGAAATTTGCTTCATTAATTCTCGACTAATTGTTGTTTCAGAATAACGGAAATTAACGTAGCGCACTCATCATAGCGCAAAATTCGGCCCTGCATGATTTCGGTTTTGGTTCAGACGTGAAGTAAGACTTTTTGCCATTAGAAGGTCACTGTTAGTCTAGTTGCTTTCCTATTTTGTGAGGTTTTGTTATTTTCAAACATTAATAAACATTAACACGTAATGAAGCAAATTTCAAAATTTTTTGCACGGTTGAATAGAGAATAAAACCCCCTTTCAAATGAGCTACCACTCATCACCCCATGCCATTTAAATTTTTCGAAAGGGTTGCTACCCTCCAGTAAGGGATGAAATTAAGGGTAAACTAATCATGCAAAAATGTACATTGTAGAAATCAAAAATCGACCTGTCTCGGTGATTTTCTTAACAAGGCCCCAGTAACGAGTTAGTTAGGGGGGTGAGACTTATGATGCTCACTGTATATATAGATTTGTAGATTACACATAAATTATTAAATTATTCTAATTGCAGAGAAGAGATCACTTTAAATGACAGAATAGGATAATTTTATGAAATTCTACTTTTATTTTTAGAGTTGATATTATTTGTATTATTTAAATTCCAAAGGTTTTGAAGTAGGATAATATTTATTTTTTAAATTGTACTAGTGAAAGACCAATTATTAATAGTATTGGCTAAATGAAGAATTGAATCAAGTGGAGAAACAGCAGAGTTTTGTATACTAATAGTGCACTAAAGTTTACTTGATTATTAATTTATTAATAATGAAAAAGTTTTCCATATGCCGCCAACTTAAGTAGTAGACATAGTACATATAAATATGGAATTTAAATGTTTTGAAAATTATTTTTTCCTATAACCACTTAGGAAAGTGGCACATATCACACTATTTAGTCTTACGGGAAGTGCCCTATGTCACACATGTGGATAAGAATCTACTTTCCATCCGTGTGTAAATAGCTTCTTTCCGCATCAGCTATCAAATATGTCAAATACGTATTTTAGAAAAATATGAAAATTGAAAGGTCCAGAAGTTATTATAGCACGTTATAGTTTAACTAAACAGTTTTGCCATGTCGATTAGATATCCAAACTGTACTGGATAAATAATAAATAGAATTATTACGCCATCTGTTGAACAAAAGAACTATTAAATATGGAATACTGCTCCATATATTGAACAAAAAGATTCCTAAACATGACATATAAATGACATCTATCATAATTAGTGTTACGAATATTGGAGTGTGCTACTGTGGCTTTATGCTTATTTTTTTATATATTAGGTTGTAGCATATTTTCAAATAAAGATTATTATTAGAGTACAAATATAATAACTAAAATTTTATCAGAAATGAGCTGCCATCTTGCAGCAAGGTCCTCAATTATAGTAATTCTAAATATCAAATATAAGTAATTCTGGTTTTTAATAAGTAAATAAAAAAATTCAAAAGGATATACAAAACTTTATTTAAAAATTTTTAAAATACAAGTAATATTTGTTGCAAATCGTGATTAATCTATATAAATAAAACTTATTTTCAAAGTTCAAATCAGAATAATTTTTGGAATTTGCTGTTGGTCTTCTGGCGTATAGCGTGTTGAATATTAATTTTTATTGAACTAAAATAGGACGACGATGACGACTTCGAACCGGAAGACGCTAGGAAAAAGAAAAAGGGAAAGAAACGAAAAGCTAGAGGCGAAGAGAAAAAGGGCAAGAAAAAGAAGAAAAAGCGTAAGAATGACAGTGGAGATGTAAGTTTAAATATACCTCGAAATTTAAGAACATTACAATTATTAAATTTTTAGGAAAGCGATTTTGTTGAAGAAGAAAACGGAGCTGGGGATTCAGATTACGGCGGTAGTAGCAGCAAAAGGGGGAGAAAGAAGGGTTCCACCAAACATTCTTCATCATCTTCAACACCTACACCTGCGAATGAATCTAGTGGAGCTGGAGGTGGGTTTACATTTTTAATTTCCTATTTAGACATTGTTTAATTTGTGTAATTTTTTTTAGGTATGCCTACCATCGAACAAGTCTGTTCGACATTTGGACTCACAGACGTCGACATCGATTATTCAGAAGCGGATATGCAGAATTTGATCAGTTACAAATTGTTTCAGCAACACGTCAGACCTTTTCTCGCTAAAGAAAACCCCAAGGTAATGTGATGCTTATTTTTTATTCATTATTGGTAATTGGAAATAAAAATTCAACCATTTAGGTACCAATGTCCAAATTGATGATGCTGGTAGCCGCAAAGTGGCGCGAATTTTCGAACATCAATCCGAATTTGCAAAGCGAAAACGAACCGTCAACAGCACCTTCCACCACATCTGAAGAAAGTTATCCCAAATCGAATCGCTCGAGGGCTTCCAAAGAAGCCGCTCAAAAAATCGTCGAAGCCGATTCCGAACCGTACGACGAAGACGACGATTTCGATGACGACGAAGATAAAGAGGATAAATCGAAAAAGAAACGCGGCTCCAGAGGAAGACCTAGTAAATCGTCGAAAAAAGCCACAAAGGTGCCCACTTTGAAGATCAAATTGGGGAAGAGGAAACGAGGCAGTTCTGTAAGTGATTTATTTTTAATTATGTCGATCCTACTGACTGCGCCAATTTCTTTAAAACATTAAATAAATAGGACGAAGACGGCGAAAATAGCAAAGATGGTTCAGACAGAGATTCGGACGCTGAATTCGAGCAGATGTTGCAAGACGCCGAAGAACCCAAGTCCAATAAATCGACCAACGATGATGAACCGGTTGAGCCGTCCGAAGCACCGGTCGAAGAAGAAGCACTGTTGCCGAAGCGAAAAGCCAAAACCAAGATCGGTTGTAAGACGAAGAGGAAAAGAAAGACGAAGGTAGGAACTATTTGCAAATTATATATTTTTTTTCTGTATTTCTATACCTATAACACTTATGCCAATTGTGTATCCAGTTGAATTGATAGACATCTCTAAATGAAATTTATTGTGGTTGTTTAGAGTGGGAAACCAGAAGATGATAACTACGAACATCAAGATTATTGTGAGGTATGTCAACAAGGTGGAGAGATCATCCTTTGTGATACTTGTCCCAGGGCTTACCATTTGGTGTGTTTGGAACCGGAATTGGAAGAGGCGCCTGAAGGAAAGTGGAGTTGTCCACATTGTGAAAATGAAGGTAAGTTTTTCTTTTATAATAATTGGTAATAATTCTTTTTCTATAGGAAATTATTAGATGATTGTTTCTTAGTATAAATCCAAATTTGTGTTTTTTTTTTGCAAATATGTGGAAAGTAGTTATAACTTTTTTATAGAGCACAGGATTCTCTATCGTTTTTTCTTTCTTTATCGGTTTTTTCTTTATCGTTTTTTTTTTCGTTCTTTCGTTTTTTTTTTGTTCTCTGGTTTTTTATTTCTCTATCTCTTTTTTTCGTTCTCTAACGTTTTTTATTTCGCCATCTTTTTTTATTATTTTGATTCTCTATCCTCTTTTTTTTGTTCCCTATCTTTTCTTCTTTCTCTATCGTTTTTAAAATTAATTTTTTTTTAAATGTAATTAAAAATTGTGTTTTTTTTTTTTCGCAAATATATTCGATTTGAATGAAAATTTGTAAATCGGGTTTTTTGAGGTCGTTGATCAATCTGTAATTAATTTTGTTTTTAACAAAGTGGTGGATTCAATATGGCGGATAAAAATTATACAAACGAATCTATTTTCATAAAATTTTGAATATATCGGGAATTAAAAATTTGAAAAACAAAATGACAGATTCAATGTGGCGGACAAAAATGAAAAACAAAATGGCGGATCTCAACATGGCGGACATTTATAAAATAAATTGCCTTTTCATAAAATTTCGGATTTACGGATTTTCGAGGTCGCTGGTTATGAATTATAAATTAAAAATTTTAAAAACAAAATGACGGATCCAATATGGCGGACAAAATTGATAAAAGTTGTAATTTCATAAAATTTCAGATCTAGGACTTTTCAAGGTCGCTGGTTATGAATCTTAATTTAAACAAAAGAACAAAATGGCAGATCCAATGTGGCGGACACAAATGAAAAACAAAATGGCGGATCTCAATATGGCTGACATTTATAAAATAAATTGTCTTTTCATAAAATTTCGGATTTACGGATTTTTGAGGTAGCTGGTTATGAATCATAAATTAAAAATTTTAAAAGTAAAATGACGGATCCAATATGGCGGACAAAATTGATAAAAGTTGTAATTTCATAAAATTTCAGATCTAGGAATTTTCAAGGTCGCTGGTCTTGAATTTTAATTTACACAAAACAACAAAGTGACAGATCCAATGTGGCGTACACAAATGAAAAACAAAATGGCGGATCTCAATATGGCTGACATTTATAAAATAAAATGTCTTTTCATAAAATTTCGGATTTACGGATTTTCGAGGTCGCTGGTTATGAATCATAAATTAAAAATTTTAAAAGTAAAATGACGGATCCACAATATGGCGGACAAAATTGATAAAATTTGAGATCCAGGACTTTTCAAGGTCGCTGGTTATGAATCTTAATTTAAACAAAAAACAAAATGGCTGATCCAATATGGTTGATAAAAATTTGAATTTTGAAGGTTTTCTGCGTTTACTATTTGAGAATATGAAGTAAAAAAAAATTGAAAAACAATGGCGGATCCAATATAGTTGACAACTTTTAAAAAATTGTTTCATAAAATATCGGATATCGGGGTTTTTGAGTTTGCAGATTAGGAATGTGAAATAAAAAATTTGAAAAACAAAATTTATAAACATTGTCAATTCGTATAAATTTGGATAAAAGTCTTTTCAAGGTCGCTGATTATGAAACTGAATTTAAAAATGAAAAACAAAATGACTGATCCCACATGGCGGACACAAATGATAAGAATCAAAATTTTTAAATAGGATTTTCTGAGATTGTTTAAGAATATGAACAAAAAAAAATGAAAAACAAAATGGCGGATCCAATATGGCGGAGACAACATTTATAATCCTCTGTGATAATGTATCTAAATTTAAAAATAAAAAACAAAATCTAATCCAAGGTTAATGGTTGAGAATATGAAGCAAAAATAAATTAAAAATAAAATGGCGGATCCAATATAGCGGACAAAATTAATAAAATTTCAAATGTAGGGCTTTCAGTTAATGAATAGGAACCTGAAATTAAAAAATTGAATAATGAAATGGCGTATTAAATATGGCGAATAAAAAGTTTGCTGTTTTAGAATTTAAAATAAAAAAAATGAATAATTTTGTTTTCAACTGAGAGTTCGTTCGTGTTTTGAGAGTTATTGGATCGCAAAGTGTTTACATTTGATTCTCTACCGTTTTTATTTCACTGATTTTTTGTGACCTTTGTGTATCAAGAAAATTTTTACCTGTAGTTTTAGCTAAATATCTTTTTAACGACTAATCGTATATTGGTGACCGATATTTATATTCTTTATTTATCGGTTTTCTTTATCGGTTTTTTCTTTATCGTTTTTTTTTTCTTTATCGTTTTTTTTCGTTCTTTCGTTTTTTTTTTGTTCTCTGGTTTTTTATTTCTCTATCTCTTTTTTTCGTTCTCTAACGTTTTTTATTTCGCCATCTTTTTTTATTATTTTGATTCTCTCTTTTTAACGACTAATCGTATATTGGTGACCGATATTTATATCGTGAAAGACATTTAGAATGTTCTAGAATACCACATATGTAAATAGGCTAAGTTTTTCCGTGTGTCAGTTATAGTTAAGATATCGTTCTATTCGGATAAATATCATCAAAGTTAATTAATGTATCAGTAAAAGAGATATAAATAGTAATTTTAGTGAAAATAAACGTTACATTGTTTTCTTTAGGTCCTGTTGAACAAGATGACGACGAGCACCAAGAGTTCTGCAGGGTATGTAAGGACGGCGGGGAACTGCTATGTTGCGATTCTTGTACATCTGCTTACCACACTCATTGCCTAAACCCTCCGCTGACCGACATCCCCGACGGCGACTGGAAATGTCCCAGATGCGGATGTCCGCCGTTAGTCGGAAAAGTAGCTAAAATTCTCACCTGGAAATGGGTGGACGATCCTCCGAAGAAAAAGGAAAATGGCGAAGACGAAAGCCCCACCAGACACAGGGAGTTCTTTGTCAAATGGCATGAGCTCTCATATAGACATTGCAGTTGGATAACCGAGCTCCAATTGGACGTGTACCATCCGCTAATGTTCCGCAGCTACTCGCGAAAATGGGACATGGAGGAACCGCCGAAACTGGAAGAACCAATCGACGAATCCGACTCAAGATGCACAAGGTACTTAAAAAAAAATAACTACCGACGTTACAAACTAAACCAATAATCTAATATTTATTTCAGGTTACTAAAAATGGGCGGTAACAACAACGACGAAGAGCTAGAAGAGAAATTCTACAAGTACGGCATCAAACCCGAATGGTTGGTGGTCCATCGCGTGATCAACCATCGAACGATGCGCGACGGTCGCACTTTGTACCTCGTCAAATGGCGCGAATTGACCTACGATCAAGCCACTTGGGAAGAGGAGACCGAAGATATTCCCGGACTTAAGGCCGCTATAGAATATTACACCGATCTAAGAGCGGCTTGTTTAAGCGGCGCCGCCGGAGCCAAAAACAAGAAGGGCAAAGGGAAGAAACCGAAGGCGAAGGAATTGATGGACGACGATGACAGAATTGGACCGTGAGTAGTCAAAATTCTTGTTATATAGTATGAAAATTCGCGGTTCTGCAAGAAATACTAGTTGATTTGTAAGAAATGCGGGTTATGTAAGAAATTTGAGTTGATTCTTCCTAATTGATTTGTCGAAAATGTAAGTTCTATAAGAAATTTTAGTTTATTTGTAAGAAATCTGTTACAAATATGGATTTATTAAAAATTTGTCATTTCGTGAAATGCTGATTTTCTATTAGAAATATAAGTTGATTTGTAAGAAATAATTTTGTAACAACTTTGTGTCGATTTACAGAAAATAAGCGCTGATTAGTTTAATATGCCGGTTGTTTTGAAAGATGATGTAAGGAATAGTTTATATGCAAGAAATGCTGGTTGTTAAGAAATATGAGTTGATTTGTAAGAAACACGTATTGATTTCTTACAAATGCGTGGTTGTGTAAGAAATAGAGCTTGTTCTGTAAGAAATACGAGTGGACTTGTAATCGATGCTGGTTCTTAAGAAATATGAGTTGATTTGCAAGAAATGGTGATTCTGTAATAAATGTGAGTTAAATTGTAAGAAATGCTGGTTCAGTAAGAAATATGAGTCGATTTGTAAGAAATGATTCTGTAATAACTTCTAGAAGATTTGCTAAAAATGAGCGTTGATTTGTTTAAAATACTGCTTGTTTTGAAAGAAATGATGGTTCTGTAAGAAATGCTGGTTGCTAAGTAAGAAATATGAGTTGATTTGTAAGAACCGCATTGATTTCTTACAAGTGCGTGTTGTTTGGTAAGAAATGGCTTGTGCTGTAAGAAATGTTGGGTGTGTATAAAATATGAGTTTATTTTTAAGAAATGCTTGTTCTGTAAGAAATGTCGGTTCTGTAAGAAATATAAGTTGATTTGTAAGGAGTGATTCTGTAACAACTTTTAGAAGATTTGCAAGAAAATGAGCGTTGATTTGTTTAAAATACCGGTGTTCTGAAAGAAATGATGGTTCTGTAAAAAATGGTGGTTGAGTAAGAAATAAAGAGTTGATTTGTAAGAAACGCATTGATTTCTTATAAATGGGTGTTGTTTTGTAAGAAATGGCTTGTTCTGTAAGAAATATGAATGGATTTGTAAGATTTTAATTAAAAAGGGTTTATTTTCTATGAAACGATTAAATATCTAAACTAATCGAGGTACAAGTAACCAATATTAAAATCGAAATTTTACGACATAGGCGCCGGTACACCCCTCCCCCTGAGAAACCTTGCAGCGATCTCAAGAAGAAACTGGAAAAACAACCCAGTTACCTAGATGAAAGTGGCCTGCTGCACGAATACCAACTGGAAGGTCTGAACTGGTTGAGGTACTCGTGGGCCAACGGTATCGATACCATCCTCGCCGACGAGATGGGTCTCGGTAAAACCATCCAGACCATCGTCTTCTTGTACTCATTGTACAAGGAGGGCCACTGCAGAGGACCGTTTTTGATCAGTGTACCGCTGTCGACCATCATCAATTGGGAGAGGGAGTTCGAGCAGTGGGCGCCGGATTTTTACTGCATCACATATGTCGGTGAGTACCAAATTTTTTAATATATATACACGTTTTCCTTAATTTTTCGTATTAGCTGGGAAATTAGTTAATAAGGTATCAATGAACATTAATAGGGAATTGATGAAAATTATTAGGGAATTGATGAAAATTATTAGAGGCCCGATAATTAATAATAGATGGACAAAAGTAATTGGAGTCTGAAAATTCGACATGGATTACTAAATATTTTAAGGGGATTGACAAAATTAATAGAGGCTGTGTAATAATTGATAGAAGATCGACAAAAGTAATAGAAGTCTGATAAAATTGACAAGGATTATTAAAAATGAATAGAAGTTCGATACAATAGGGAATCGGTGAAAATTAATAGGGACTCGATAATAATAGGAAATCAACAAATGTAGTAGGGGCCTTACAAAATCTGCAAGAATTACTAAAAAAAAATAGAGAAGTAATAAATGATAGGGGATTATTGAAAATTAATATTGGCCTGATAATTAAAAAAAAAAAGTGTTAACATTTTAATATGTATTTATTTCAGGTGACAAGGATTGCAGGGCGGTAATTCGTGAGAATGAAATTAGTTTCGAAGAAGGAGCAGTCCGAGGCAGCCGCGCCTCCCGAATCAGAGCCGGTTCTATTAAATTCAACGTCTTACTGACGAGTTACGAGTTGGTTTCTATCGATTCGGCTTGCTTGGGATCGATAGAATGGGCCGTATTGGTCGTGGACGAAGCCCACAGGCTGAAGAGTAACCAATCTAAGGTGAGTTCATTACTTCTTTAATTTCGTAACACAAATGTAATCTTTTGGCTTTTTACAGTTCTTTAAATTCCTGAACAGCTATAACATAGCTTACAAGCTGCTGTTGACCGGTACGCCGTTGCAAAACAATCTCGAGGAACTGTTTCATTTGTTGAACTTCTTGAACAGCGAGAAATTCAACGATCTGACTACTTTCCAGGCCGAATTTGCGGATATTTCGAAGGAAGATCAGGTAAAATCCAGTTTACAAAAATTCTGTATATACAGGGCAATAAATCTACGGGATATTATGTAAAAATACGGGATATTGTGTAAAAATACGGGATATTTTATAAAAATACGGGATATTGTGTAAAAACATGGGTTATTTGGTAAAATACGGGATATAATTTGTAAAAATACGGGATACTATGTAAAAATAGGGGATATTATGTAAAAATACAGCATTATGTGAATACAGGATATTCTCTAAAAATTGTATAATATTGGAAAAATAAGTTTTTTTTTTTTTTTGTAAAAATTGTCTAGAAATTAAGGGATATTAGGTAAGAACATGAAAAATTTGTAATGAACTGTTTTATGTTTTGTAGGTGAAAAAATTGCACGAAATGTTGGGACCGCACATGTTGCGTCGTCTCAAGGCCGACGTACTTAAAAACATGCCCTCGAAGTCCGAATTCATTGTCAGAGTGGAACTGTCGCCGATGCAGAAAAAGTACTACAAATACATTTTGACCAGGAACTTTGAGGCGTTGAACCCGAAAGGCGGTGGACAACAGGTATTTAGAAAAAAAAAATGTTTTTATACTCTTTTGGTTAAACCTTAATAGGGGATTGATAATAATTAATAGGAGATTGACAAAATAGGGATCTGACAAAATCGACGGGAATACTTAAAATTAATAGGAGATCGATGGAAATTTAATAGGGGTCCGATAATTTGAGATCGACAAAAATAAATAATAGCATGGAAAAATTGACAGGGAAAACTAAAAACTATAAGGAATCGATGAAAATTATTAGGAGATCGTTTCTTTTGCATCCAGTCTTAACCAATTTATGACTGTATCAAATTACATTTAAATTAATAGGAGATAGACAAAAGTAATTGGGATCTGAGAAAACTGACAGGATTACTAAACATTAATAGGGGATCGATGAAAATTAATAGAAGATTGATGAAAATTAACAAGTGCCCGATAATATTTAATATATCTCTTGTATCCAGTGTTGCTTGCCATTTTGCCATTGTATCAAATTCAATCTAAAATTAATAGGAGATCGATGGTACCAATTAATAAGAGTTCGAGAAAAGTAACAGAGGTCCAACAAAATGGCGGGATTGCTAAAAAATTAATAAGAGATCGATAACAATGCCAGGGGATCAATGCAAATTAATAGGGGATTGGTTAAAAAAAGTTAACAGGAGTCCGATAATAATAAAGATGGCAAAATCGACAGGGATTACTAAAAATTAATAGGGGCCAATAAAAATTATAAAGAATTGATTAAACTTAATAGCGGCTCTATAATAATAAATCATTTCTCTTCTAACCAATATTGTCAAATTTCATTCAAAGTTTCTAATATTTTCCTATGTTTATTGAATAATAATATACAGTGAACGTCAAAATTCAATCCCACGTCTAGAATATTTTTTTTGTATTTTGAATTCACATATATTTACAGGTATCTCTATTGAACATCATGATGGATTTAAAGAAATGTTGTAACCATCCTTACTTATTCCCGGCCGCGTCCGAAGAAGCCCCGTTGGGGCCGCACGGAAACTGGGACGTGGGCCATTTGACCAGAGCTTCAGGAAAATTAGTTTTATTATGTAAAATGTTGAGAAAACTTCGCGAGCAAGGCCACAGGGTGCTCATCTTCTCGCAGATGACCAAGATGTTGGACATATTGGAGGATTTCCTCGAAGGAGAGGGGTAGGTTTGATATTTAATTTAATGATTTTTATATTAAATGATGGTTTTTAATTTTATTTCAAGATACAAATACGAACGTATCGACGGTGCTATAACAGGAAGTCTTCGTCAAGAGGCCATCGATAGATTCAACGCGCCCGGCGCACCGCAATTCGTATTTTTACTTTCGACCAGAGCCGGTGGTCTAGGTATCAATTTAGCCACTGCCGACACTGTCATCATTTACGATTCCGATTGGAATCCTCACAACGATATCCAGGTAATTTAGGCTTTGAAACTATAAATCACATCGTTTATAAATAATTTCAACAGATTGGGACCAACGTACGAACCTTGGGGTATACCTGAGTTTGCTATATAGTTTAAAAATTAATTATAGTAAGTTTTAGTAACTTTCAACAGTTAAATTAATAGGGGATGATCAATAATTAATAGGAGATCGACAGAAGTAATACGGATCCGGCAAAACTGGCGGGATTACTGCAAATTAATAGGGGATCGATACAAATGGTAGGGTATCGATGTAAATTAATAGGAGATCAATGGAAATTTATGGTTTAAGAATGATGTATAGTAATCTTTAGTAACTTTTACAGTAAAAATTATTAAAAATTAATAGGTGATTGCTAAAAATTAGGGAATCGAAAATTAATAGGGGCCCAATAATATAGAGGAGATAGACGAACGTAATAGGGGTCTGACCAAATCGATAAAGATTGCTAAAAATAATGATGTGATCAATAAAAATTGAAGATTTGCAGAAGTCGATAATTAATAGAATACTGTACAATTAACAGGGTTTACTAAAATTTAATTGGGGATCGATAAAAGTTATAGGGAATCGATGAAAATTATTAGGGACCCAATAATAGGAGATATATAAACCTAATAGGGGATGGTTAATAATAGGAGATCGACAAAAGTAATACGGATCCGGTGAAACTGGCGGGATTACTGAGAATTAATAGGGGATCGATGTGAATTAATGGGTCTATTAAAAATTAGTAAGTGATCGATGGAAATTAATAGGGGCTCAATAATATAGTTTAAAAATGATGTATAGTAAGTTTTAGTAACTTTTACAGTTAAATTAATAAAAATTATATGTGATTACTAAAAATTGGGGATTCTAAAATTAATAGGGGCCAATAATAATATAGAGAAGATAGATAAAAGTAATAGAGGTCTGACAAAATCAATAAGGATTACTAAAAATGATATGGAAAGTCTGATAATAAGAGAACATAAATAAATAATTAATAGGGGTCTGATCAAATCGATAGGGATTACTAAAAATAATAGGGATCTGTGAAAATTAATAGGTGTCTGATATTAAGAGATTAACAAAAGTAAATAATATGGGTCTGAGAACCTTATGGAAATTAATAGTGGTTCGATAATAATAGATCAGCAAAAGTATTAAGGGTCTAACAAAATCGAAATAAATACTAAACAATTTATAGAGGAACAATAATAGGAGTCCGATAATAATAATAGGAAATCAAGAAAATCTACATGGATTACTAAATATTAATAGGGGATCGATAAAGATTATAGGGAATCGATAAAACTTCATAGTTACCCAATCCTGGGAGTTTTAAAGTATAGAATGAATATTCGAATTGATTGGATAGTAATCGATTTTTTTTTTCAGGCATTTTCTCGTGCCCATCGTATCGGTCAATGCAACAAAGTAATGATCTATCGTTTCGTGACGAGGAACAGTGTTGAAGAGCGAGTAACTCAAGTGGCAAAGAGGAAAATGATGTTGACGCATTTGGTCGTGCGACCCGGAATGGGTGGCAAGGGCGCCAATTTCACCAAACAGGAATTGGACGATATCCTGCGATTCGGTACAGAGGAACTGTTTAAGGAAAGCGAAGGTTGGTGTAATTGATGAAAAAATTCTTTTGAGTGATTTGTTTCTGATATTTATATTTTTATTCGTTATTTCAGTAGGTAAAGAAGATGAGGCCATCCACTACGACGATCGAGCCGTTGGAGAATTGCTCGATCGTAGCAAAGAAGGTATCGAACAAAAGGAGAGTTGGGCTAATGAGTATCTTAGTTCGTTCAAAGTTGCCAGTTATGTTACTAAAGAGGGCGAAACGGAAGAAGAGGTCGACACTGAGATTATCAAACAGGAAGCTGAAAATACCGATCCTGCTTATTGGATCAAGTTGCTGAGGCATCACTACGAGCAACAGCAGGAAGATATCGCCAGGACGCTGGGTAAGACGATGTTGAATTGAAATCCTACTGACTGCGCCATATTTATATCAATTATGATAAATGACGTTCCATTTTGTACTTTTAACGCAGGTAAGGGAAAGAGAGTGAGGAAACAAGTGAATTACAACGATGGAGGCATGACAACCGATACCAGGGAAGATACTACGTGGCAGGAAAATTTGTCCGATTACCATTCGGACTTTTCCGCCGGTTCCGATGAGGATAAGGAGGACGACGATTTCGATGAAAAGAACGATGCAGATCTTAGCAGGTATGTAAGAAAATATTTTCTTTATGAAAATTTTGTAGAAATACGGGATATTTTGTAAAAATACGGGATATTATGTAAAAATATGTGATATTTTGTAAAAATACGGGATATGTATAAAATACAGGAAAACTGTAAAAATTGGGGGTTTTCTCCCGATCTATTTTTACGCACATTTTATATAATTTTCTTGTATATTTCCCAACAGGAGAAGCCGCAGGAAGATGGAGCGCAAAGACGAAAAAGACCGCCCTCTACCGCCTCTCCTTGCCCGAGTGGGCGGCAACATCGAGGTCCTCGGCTTCAACGCGCGCCAACGCAAAGCCTTCCTCAACGCCATCATGCGCTACGGCATGCCGCCGCAAGACGCCTTCAACTCCCAGTGGTTGGTCAGAGATCTCCGAGGCAAATCGGAGAAGATATTCAAGGCGTACGTTTCGTTATTCATGCGCCATCTTTGCGAACCCGGCGCCGACAATGCAGATACTTTCGCCGATGGGGTTCCTAGAGAAGGACTAAGTAGACAGCACGTTTTAACTAGAATCGGAGTGATGTCTTTGATTAGGAAGAAGGTGCAGGAATTCGAACATATTAATGGGGAATACAGCATGCCGGAGGTGATTAAGAAAACCATAATGGAACAAAAACCTAGCTTAACTCCTACTACTGAAGGAGAAACTCCAAAGAGCGCGACTACTAGTACTAGCGCAACTCCTGCTACGAGCGCAGCGCCCAGTCCGGCGCCCACTCAAGTTGAAGACAAAGAGAAGGAAGAGAAGCCTCAAATCGACGAAACTAAAGAAAAAGACAAGGATAAAGAAAAAGAAGTTAAAATGGAACCAGAAGAACCCAGCACTGATAAAGACAAAGAAAAGGAAACGGATAAGGATAAGGACGTTAAAGAAAAAATGGAGGTGGATGACGTCAAACCGGCCTCTCCTAAACCTGTTATTTCACCCAAAACGGAAACGCCTGAAGCTCCTTCTTCCGAAGCCGATAAATCCGAGGTGAAATCTGAAGTGGATTCTGCATCGGTAACCAGCGAGGAAAAGGATAAGAAGGAAGAAAAGCAGGAGGAAGTAGTGAAAAAGGAACCAACGCCGATAATAGAAGAAGTGGTTACGAAACCGATCACGAAGGAAGAAGTTAAAGAAGAAGTTGTTCCCCCGGTTGTTGAAGAAACTACAGAAATTAAGAAGGAGGAAGAGGCCGAAAAGAAGGAAGAAAAGGTCAACCTTAAAGTGGAGAAGAAAGAGGAAGAAGAAGTGATGGTTGTTGAAACCGAAGACGGCAAAGATAAGCCGAAAGAGAAAAAAGAAATCGACTTGGAAGCCAAGAAACGTTTCATGTTCAACATCGCCGACGGCGGTTTCACCGAACTGCACACTCTATGGTTGAACGAAGAGAAAGCTGCGTCTCCGGGTAGAGAATACGAAATCTGGCACCGACGACACGATTATTGGCTGTTGGCCGGTATAGTGACGCACGGGTACGGCAGGTGGCAGGACATCCAAGCTGACGCGCGGTTCGCCATCATCAACGAACCGTTCAAGATGGACGTCGGCAAGGGAAATTTCTTGGAGATCAAGAACAAGTTCCTCGCTAGGAGGTTCAAGGTGAGTATCCTTTAAAACTTTTTTAAAAAAATACAGAACTAACACAAGATGAAATACGAATAATGTTTTTGAGGAATTTTCATGTATGGTTGAATAAAAATAAGGACACTGTTAAAAAAAGACGGGACATGGAAAAATACAGATATAAAAATAGGGGAATCAATGTAAAAACAAGAAATATAATGTAAAAATACGAAATATAATGTAAAAATATAGGATATCGCATAAAAACACGGAATAATATGTAAAAAATAGGGGAGATGAATGTTTTTGTGAAATTTTTATGTAAATTGTCTGTAAAATGTCTAAAATGTAAAATACGTGGTGTAATGTAAAAATATGGGTTTTTCATGTAAAACCACAGGCTATTGTGTAAAAAAAAGGGATTCTATGTAAAAATACTTTGTAATTTCAGCTTTTGGAACAAGCTCTCGTGATTGAGGAACAATTAAGGCGCGCCGCTTACCTGAATCTCACGCAGGACCCCAATCATCCAGCGATGTCCTTGAATGCACGCTTCGCCGAGGTGGAGTGCCTGGCTGAGTCCCATCAACACCTCAGCAAAGAGTCTTTGGCAGGAAACAAACCCGCCAATGCTGTACTCCACAAGGTACTGTATTATTTTTATATAAAATTACTTGGAGGGTTTAATAATATTGATTAGGAGTAAAACTCGACCTTTCAGTTGAAGATATAATTTTATTGTTACATTTTACTAAATTAAAAAAAAAATGTATATAAATTAAAAAAAAAATGTTTGAGTGTTTTTATATTGATAAAAAAATGCTAGTTAGTTGTAGGATATTGGTATAAATTAGGTATTTTGTCAATAAAAATGTTAACACTCGAGAGTTTAAAAGTCGTTAAATAAATAAATGGTAGTTAAGATTGCTAATAAAATATTGAGAAAGTTAAAAAAAACAATAAAAAAAAATTATCAAGAATAACAAAGTCAATAAAAAATTATCTATAGTTAACAAATCGGTAATAAAATTGATACGACTCTAAAACAATCATCACAACCAACCACTTTGATAAAGTACACCATAGAAAATTATTTTTTAACTGTTAATACGAAAATTATTAGTTAAAACTCTCAAAAATTTTCAAAACTACACATGTGACAACTTTGACAATTACATTCTTTTCCATTCTCAATCTACTTTTAACAATTCAAGTTTATTTTTATTGATTTTGTATAAATAATTCGAAATGTAAAGGATATTTTGTTTTGGATTGCAGGTTCTTAACCAATTGGAGGAATTATTGTCGGACATGAAATCCGACGTGTCCAGATTGCCCGCGACGTTGGCCAGAATACCGCCAGTAGCTCAGAGGTTGCAGATGTCCGAGAGGAGTATCTTATCGAGATTGGCGGCCACTTCGTCGTCCAGCAATCAATCCACAAGTAAGAAATTTTATTTGACTTAAATACAATAAAAGATGTTTTCTTGTTATATAGAAAATAATCACTACTTTCGGTCACATTCGGTTACATTTTTTTGATAGCTCCAGTAACAAGTTTTTTTAATCTTTATTGGCTTTCCAATCATCGATGACACACTGAATAGTAATTTTACAGCTATGTTTTGCCCTAAAATCCGATTGAATACTGTTAATCAAATTGCTTACTTCTATAAAATCAATTAGTTGATTATACACAACTTTCTCTTAAGATTTTTTCAATTGAAGGTAACAATTTTATTGGTTTTAATTCAGAAGCTTTCTTAAAGTTGGTAACATTTTGGGATTGGTACTATTGTTGAAATTTTTAAATCATCTGGGAATACATTAGTTTCTATTAACAAATTTATCAAAATTTAATAGAGACATAGAAATATTACTGTAACAATAACAACAATTTAAGTTTCCAAAAAATGAAAATCCTTTGGGCTTAGTACTACATCACATAATGTAACATGTAATAATTTGTTTTCTTTTTTTTTTAGCGCAAGTGATGAGCCAGTTCCCCCCAGGCTTCAACGCCGGCAATCTGCCCGGTTTTACCGGTTCGACGGCCAACTTCTCCAATTTCCGGCCCCAGTACTCCGTGCCCGGCCAGCCTCCCGCGGGATTCCCCTCATAATATTTAGTTTTCTAAGTAATCACGACATAGCTCAAATCCCTAAACTAATTTATTCTTTTTTGTGTTTCCTTTGTTTGTTTTGTTTTTCTTTTAAATCAATCAATCAAATCAACCAAATTACACGCAAATATTTATTTCGACGATTTTTTTTTTTAGATTTCATACTAATGGGAAAGATTTTTTGTCTGAAATTTATTTATACATATACAGACTTTCAAAATTACATAAAATTTATAATTTGGATGATGCAACGTTGCAAATGTAAAGATAATTTTTAATTTCTGATTTACTACAGGAAAATTAATTCCAGACCACTCTGTGTATGAGTTTGTTTTTTTTTTTTTAATTTGACGCTGTAAAAATCGGTGATAAAATTTTCGTATTTAGACCTGCAAATACAGTTTATTTTTTGTTTGTTATATTTTTTTTTTTGTTAAGTAGGAGCAAATAATAGAACTTGTATGTGTACATTTTTTTAAAAAATTTCGGATCTGTGCTACAGGCAGAAAGTATTAGTATGTTTATCGGTTTTTTTATTACTTAAGCTCTAATTTAGCAATAAAGATCTATAAAATGTAATTTGTTTTT